ACCCTCCTCCCAGGATGGGCAGGACCAGCTGGCACCACTCAGACACTCAGCTTCTGCTCCCACCTCCTCTCCCACTTCTAGGCTGTTTATTTTCTTGGAAGAGTCTTCAAAACACACATTCATGGGTGGTAGCCCCAGGCTGGGCTCACACAGAGTGACAAGCTGGGTCCCCATGGGGCAGACCACAGCAGCAGTTCAAACCTTGGGCCACTCTGCACCATCCCCATTCACTTACCCCCTGCCAGAGAGAGCAGTTGCTCCTGTGGACACATCCCGGGCTGCCTTCCCTTCCCAGGGAGCTGAGATCTGGCCATGTTCGGGATTTCCAGCCTCCAGCTGGGGTCTGCCAGTACCCCTGAAGTCTTCAACCCTCCGGGAAGGTACGGATGTTCACTGCCTCCTCCCAATACAGCTTGTGCTCCTGGCTTAGGGACGCTTTCTTCTCCGACGCACAGCCAGCTCCCCACAGCACGGTGTGCAGGCACGAGTGACAAGCCATGTGCAGGAGCAGTGAAACAACACACAGCTTTACTTCACAGATTCAGTGCAGTCAATTCTTTTTTCAAAACTAAAGCTAAGCTTCACAAAGCTCTCTTGAGGTGGCCTACAAGCTAGACTGGCATTTGTGGGTTATCACTGTAGTCCTTCCCAGCAGTTCTCACATTCTTTTTTAACCCAAACCTGATGCTGAGTTGTCATTTCTTCTACTCCCACATCTTCTATCATCAATTATCTGGTTTCCTCACACACAGCCATCTCACTCCCCACCTCCCAAACCCCTCCCTGCACTCTCCAGGCCAATATCAACCCTACCTTACAGTTTTTCAAGAGAAGGGATGCCTCCATCCACCCCAAAGTGGGCCCTGGCTGACTGCTGGAAGGACCTGGGCAGCTGCTGTGCTGGGTCCCATGGGGGGCACGGTGAGCACCCAGGCGCTCTTGATCTGTCTCTTACCAGAGAGAGCACCCTCATGCCTGCTTCTGGTTTTTAACCTTTCAGCTCAGGAAGGAGCTGTGCCCGAGCAAGTCTCCCAGGGGTAAGAATAGCATCTGCCATCTTAGGACACACCACAGTTGTCCAGCTCCTGCATGGCAGCACGTTGTGCTGAGATATAGAAGGCAACCTACCCGCCAAGGAATGTCTTGGAGCGCTATTAGTGGAAACGGATCATCTCCACAAACAGGCATGACCCTGTGCAGGAGTCTTGTGAGAGCAGGGCTATTCTGAGCTCCTGACACTGAGGTTCAAGGGACACACATGACAGGCTGGTCCTCCTGGCTCAGGAGGAGGGGTCCAGGAGGGAGCTGGGAATTTGCTGGGGATACAAGGCCAAGCCTTAACCCATCAGCACTGCCCATGCTTATGGCAAGTCCTGCCTGAAGATGTGTATCTGTCCCTGAGCTTAGGGCACACGGCTGCCTGCTTCATTTTCAACCACATCCATGAAAGCTACACAAAACCAGAGGCTGTGTAACTGCATGCAAGTGAAAGAAGAGTATCCACCTATTGCTTCCTGAAGCTCACTATCTTTGAGTGGTCTTTGGTACCATGGATGTTTGAGAAGCCCCTTTTCTTCTTCCCAGCCATCAAAATTCCCTCCCCAACTTATTTCAATCCATTTAACATCACCTTTCTTGTGGTATGGATTTCTTTCATTCCAATTTATTTTTGTCTCATTTTTTGTTTCATTTCATTCCTTGTCAAAGCTGGATCTGCACATTAAGCTCTCAGCAGGGATTAAAACCATTCTCCCAGAAGTTTTCCAGCTGGATCAGCTGGCCAAATCAATCTCCCTTGGGATCCTTCATTCAGCTGGGCTAAAGAACAACAGCAGCACTAGCAGGCAAGAACAAGTGCTCATGGAATTCAATATGTACCAGGTAGCTTATAAAGTGCTGCCACTAAATGTTGTCCCACACCCTTAGGGGATGGATCTCATGCTGGCTCTTGGAACAAGGCCTCTTGGCAGAGACCCAGTCTTCTTAAGCCAGTCCCAGGCATGCGCAGCACTCCTGCAGATGAAGACTTGGTTGGTTCAGCAGACCAGAGGCACAACTGTTCATTCCAGCACCCTAATAAGTGAAACTGACTCCTCCTACAGCCCCCAGCAGTGTGGCCTTGCCAGGAACTTCTGCACTAGTTGGGCATCTCCCTGTGTCTACCATAGGACAGTACAACTGCTCACCTAAAGACAGGCAGGCGATACAGAGAAAGGCTTTACCCCATCTTGGTGCCATGTGATCAGGCTTAGGTTCCTACAAAGAAGCCTTTCCAGGTGGAGACTCAAACAGGATCTTGAAACCCTTTCCCTGGCATGGTAGGCTGTGTGATGGGCATGCAGACAGGGCTGTGTGCACCTCTGAGACGCTCCAGCAGCAGACTGCTTCTGTTTGTGTTGTCCTGAACTGCCACGGGTCAGCATGGGCTGAGCTTCCTTCACAGCAACTCAAGCCATGCATTTCTTCATTTTATTCTTACTGCATGAAATTGGCAGTGCACAAAGTGGGCCACAGGCTCTTCACATTGCTGCAGTGCTACCAGCAAGTCTCCTGCACTCATGCTCTCAGCTCCTCAACTCCAAATGAGGACCTGAACAGAAGTCATTCCTTGAGAGAGCAAAAGAGCAACACATCCAACATCTGTCCCAGTTGGTGTGAAAAACTAACATTTGATTCCAATTCCCCCAGATCACAGGACTGTAACAGTGGATGGAGGGCCCTCTTGAGAAGATCATGCTGTGAAGACAGCTTTTGGGGAAACTAATGGCTAGGCTGACTGAGAAGGTTTATCAGAGTTCCAGGTTTCTCAGACAAGCTGAAGATCTTGCAGCTCATCAACTCAGTACTTCATGAGCTTAGTGGTGCACAGAGGCAGAGACCTTTGGCTACGGCATAACAATTACCAAATGCTCCCAAAGGAAATGTGAAAACCCATGTGTGTAACTAGTTCAGAGACTGGGGGCATAAACTTCAAGCAGCTACTCAGATTTTGCTGCTATTATTATAGACCAGTTGATAACTATTTACAGCTTAACAAATATGTGAGACACTGAAGTTCAAGTCCTCATCTGCTTAGAGCTGTAACACTGGAAGCTCAGAAGTGGGGCAACTTTCTGAAATGCAGATTGACTGCAAGGAGAGCAGAAATACTTAATTTGTAATGCACATAGATGGCTGTTGGTTCACAGGCTGGACCAGTTGTTCTCCCATGAACAGATACAGCAGTGAAGCTAAGCAGGAATGCTGTAAGTGTTCACATTGCACGTTTGACATACCACATCTGCTCTGACAGTAGTTGATTCTCAGCTTCATTTGACAAGGTCGGGATATCTGCTTTCAAGCAGAAGGTATGGAGGGAGCCTGTCAAATACCTAGATTTAAAGGCCAGGACAAAATTGCTCAAACACGGTCAGAGAAGCAGTGGGACTTGAACCCTTAGCTTAGAAAGAAAATGACTCTCATCTGAACATCAACATTTGGAGCATCTGAAGTTGCAGGTATCTACTTTATTAACACTGCTATAGCAGCAGAGTGGCAGAAAATGTTTGTGTCTGTAAGCAAGTGGAAGATTTCCTCCTACCAGCGTAGCTCTAGCTACTGCAAATCCACAGCTGGGAAGATGCTTTGTGCAAGCTCTGGTTATCCCAGAGGAAGCTCATTTTTCACTTCTGAACACTACCTGGAAAGGAGAAACTTTGTTTAGTCCACACATTAAGATGAGTCTTTTGGTCCCCAAAATTATCTGTCTCAATGCACCATCCAGCTAGGATGTGTAACCAGCGCCCAGGTCAATGTAGTGGTGTCTGTAACCCTGGACCACCCACCACCTGATGTCATGCTGGTAGACTAGTGGGTTGAAATGGAGAAACGCTGGCTTTTCTGAAGTGTGACTTTACTGTTGCAGTGCTTCAGTACTGCACCCCCCTCCTCTGGGACAGCATTTCCAAAAGTGAATGCAAAGGATAGAAGGGAGCAAAAGGAGGTATTGATCCACCAGATCCATTAAAAGATTTAGGCATTACAATGCTTAATTTTTAGGCTTCCCATAGCAGAATCCAAAACTTATGCCAGGTGCCCAGGCTCCCTGTATACTGCACAGTATCAAAGCAGGATATAAGACTACAGCATGTTGCAGAGAGAGTCACCCATACTCACTAGGTTCAACCTGCCTTAGCTGGGGATACCCGATAGGAGACATCTGAAATCTTGCCCCTGTCAGGCTTTCAATTCAACTAGAGATTCAGCATTCCCTCTATAAGGTGATCTCGTTAACTTCATTCAGGAATGGACTCAGCTTTCCAAATGCTTCCCCTGGGGTCTTGGTGAGATAACCTTATAAGCACTGAGTCATCAAAGCCTTTTACTGGAGCATCACATTAAGGGACTCACTGAAAGGTGCACACCGTCCTCTGGTAGAACCAGCACTGTCTATCGTGTCAGGACAGAGCCTTCAGGAGAAAGCATGTCTTCCATAGCATCTCTAGAGTTAAAATGCTGTATGAGTAAGAGGATGCTGTGGGGAAGCAGAAGGCAGCCTGGAGCCAAGGTTTTCCATTTCCTAGATATGTGCAGTCAAAAGGTGTTACACCTGCTCAGATCACACTAGGAAAAACAGGCTCTGGATTTTGTACCAACCAGTCTTGGGCTGGAGATAGACAGCTGCCCAGGAAGTTCAGCTGAAGACACAGTGCTGCTGCATATTACTTAATCAGAACATTAATTCTGCCTAAGGCCCACAGGAAAGCTGTTTTAGGGATGCTCAGGGTTAAGTTGGCTCTCATTACTGTCACTTTATGAGGTCGCTTCTTAAATCTGAAACAAATGGAATGAAACTAGCCAGAAGGCTCATGAGCCTTCAGGCACCAGAACCTGAAATGCTACTCACAGAATCATAATACCTCGGAATCATTTGGGTTGGAAGGGACCTTCAAGCATCATCTAGTTCAAAACTCCTGCCATGGACAGGGACATTTTCAATAGATCAGGCTGCCCAAAGCCCCAGCCAACCTGAGCTTGAACATTTCCAATGATGAAGTATCCACAATTTCTTTGGGCAACCTGTTCAGTGTCCCACCACTCTTTGTAAAATGTTTCTTTCTTATGTCCAACCTAAATCTTCCCTCTTTCAGTTTAAAACCATTGCCTCCTGTCATTGGAGGCTCTGGTAAAAAGTCTTTCTCTGTCTTTTGTGTAAGCCCCCTTTATATACTGAAAGGCCAGAATAAGGCCTTCTCAAAGCCTTCTCTACACCAGGCTGAACAACTTCAGTCCTCTCAGCCTTTCTTCAAAGCCCTTCCTTCCAGAACACTCCTTTTGAAGTGATGGCTATGTCCACCAGCAAGCCACAAATCTACTGCTTGACTTGCTTGAGCAAACAGTACAGACTGCACAACCTGCCTCCTGCAATAAAGGCTTACCTTTGCGGAAGGGACTGCTTGGGTTTTAGCTCTGAGCTTGTTTACTTGGCTTTCAGCAATATCTGCCCTTTCCTCAACCTCTTCCAGTTTGTGCTGTGCTTTTCTGAATTTGGAGAGATTGGTATTGGCTTGTTCATCCTGAAATGGCAAAACAAAAGGAATTAAAAATCCCCCTGACAACATGCTGGCACACAGAGATAACTTTTAAACTGACGGTCCTAGAAAATGCTGAATAAGTTTTTGCTTCATTTAGTGACTCACAGCTTCCTCAGCTTGACTTTTGTAGGATTTGATTTTCATCTGCAGTTTGTCTACCAAATCTTGTAACCTCATCATGTTCTTCCTGTGTTCTTCATTCTGTAGAAAGGGAATGTGCAATTATGCATCCTTGGGAGAGAAAAGATCAGAAGAATTGCTTTCTCTTTACACCCACCTGGAAAGTCAGCTCTTTGACACGTCGTTCGTATTTGCGGATGTTTTTCATAGCCTCTGCAGATCGTTTATGTTCTTCTTCCAGCTCAGCTTCTAGCTCCCGGATCTGGTGAATTAACCAACAGTTGGCTTGAGCCCTCGCGTAAGACTTTGACACCGTTGTTCAGCACTGGTACCCACCCTGGCCTCCGTCTTCAAGAGCTGTTTCTTTCCTCCCTTCAGTGCCAACTGCTCAGCCTCATCCAGACGGAGCTGCAGGTCCTTCACCGTCTGGTCCAGGTTCCTCTTCATCCTCTCCAGGTGGGCGCTGGTGTCCTGCTCCTTCTTCAGCTCTTCTGCCATCACAGCTGCCTTGAAAGGAAGATGACACAAGAAACTGGAAGCATGGGAAAGAACTGCACGCTGTGTACTATCTGAGGATGTGCTACGAGTTCCTAATGATCCTGTCACCACATTTCCTGCTTTGTGACGTGACAGTGGCAGAAACAGCAGGAAAAAGGATAGGAGAAAATCTGCCTCACTGCACAAGCAGAGCTTGGAAAAAAGAAAGGGTAAATACTCCATCCCAGTGTAGGGTCATTACTGTGACCTTCTCTGACACACAGGGACTCTGTGGTAGAGCAACAGCCACAGCAAAGCTTGGGAGCAGTACATGGCACAGCTGAGAGGCTTCTCTGCATAACACACGTGATGCAATGTGATGGAGTCTGTGGTGTGCCTTAGTGCATGCCTTGTTATTGCCACGATGGCCTGGATGACAGTGTTCCAGTGCAGAAAACAGTTTAAACCAGCTATGTTATTTAAGACAAAACTAGGACATATTTTGCTCTCAAACATTTGATTCCACAGGATCAAATGAAGTGTTTTAGTGAAATACTGAGTAATGTTGCTTACAAATAATGTAAAATTCAGCAAATTGCTTTGGCAGCAAAATACATTAAAAAGTCTAAATTGAAAACTGTGACAATGAAATAATGGCATTTAAATTTAATATGTACATGTATGTGTCTAATTCATTATAATGTTCTATTTCTGTTTAATTAGGAGAGAATAAAAATGATTTTTTTTTCATTAGCAAATGGAGAAGTTTTCCTTCTATTTTAACTCCAAATGTTTTAAGTGTTAAGAGTTTGGTTTGATCCTATGCATCAAAAATCATCAGCAGGTTGGGTACCAGCTCTATTTCCTGGCTGGAATTCACTGGCCTTTCAAAGGAGCATATAGGACCAGTTTTGAATGGAAATTCACAGTTTTCAGTTGAAAAGTTCTTCAATAGGATTTGGAAAAGATAAATCTTTAAATTCATTACCCACTTTACTGGTTTCAATACTGCAAGGTTATTTTGTGGTTGACATTCTCATGGAGCACTGGACAAATCTGGTTTAGACTGACTAAATGTGGGTTTAGTTCATTGTGATGACAACAACCCCAAGAACTCATCTGTCAGCAGGACAAGTTCCCTGTTGTTCTAATCCTCCTCTGAGGGCCTCTTCAGCCAGGCCCACAGACTGTTTTTTTCTCTGTCCAACTTGTGACAAGAGCATTTACATTAACTCCCTGCAGCAATGCCATTGGGAAGCCCCAAAAATTCAAAGAGAAAAGCACAGTAACATCCTCACATCTGTGATTGCCTTCTTTGCTCTTTCTTCAGCATTTTTTGCTTCATCAGTAATATTTTCCACCTCAGTTTGGATTTGTGCCATATCAGCTTCAAGCTTCTTCTTTGTATTGTGAAGGCTGGTATTCTATAAGGGAGAAAAAGGGAGGCTATAAGTGTTTGTATTTGGCCTCTTACCATGAATTACTATTACTTCATGAATCTCTGGACCCCCAAAACATGTCTTCCTTAGCAAGGTAAACACCTGGGCATGGAGGAGCTGGACACGTTCAGTAGCATCCATCAGTTCCTGCTCAGCCACTTTCCTGGACCGCTCCGTCTGCTCCAGGGCTGCCCGCAGCTCCTCAACTTCAGCCTGCAACAGGTTTGCTCTGCGCTCCACCATGGACACCTGCTCCTTGAGGTCCTCCTGTGTCCTCAGAGCATCGTCCAACTGCCGCTGCATGTCCTAAATATGAAGAGCCAATTTTGTCCTAATGAACTTTTTGGACACTGTGCTTCCAAATAAATCAACCTGAAAGGTAAACCAGGACCTTGAGAACTCCCTGGATGCTTTGCAGGTGTTTCTGTGCCTCGGCAGCCTGGCGGTTGGCATGGCTCAGCTGGATCTCCATTTCATTCAGGTCTCCCTCCATCTTCTTCTTCAGCCTTAAGGATTCACTTCTGCTCCTGATCTCAGCATCCAAAACACCCTGCATTGTCTCCACAGTCTTTTGATTGTTCTTTTTTAACTGGCTGATCTCCTCATCTTTCTCGGCAATCTTCCTGTTGACTTCTAGTTTAATCTGAGTCAGTTCTTGGTTGATGACAAGAATTTTCACCTCTTCATGGTCAAGAGTTGCCTTTAAATGGTGAAAACCAAACACAAAAGTAACAGTTCAGAGAACACCATCATTGTGATGCTACTCAATGACTTACACAAACTCCTAGTTTGTGGCAAGCAACCTTGCACATGAGCAGTGCCCAGGAAAGAGAACAGAAAGCTCTTCAGACTGCTGTCTGCTTTTCCCAGGGATATTTAAATTAACTCACCTCTGCTTCCTCCAGAGCTAATCGCAGCTCAGATTTTTCTGCTTCAGCTTGCTTTTTGGCTTTCTCGAGGTCTCCAATCATTTTGCCATTTTCAGTAAGGTGTTCAGTCAGATCAGCTGTTTCCTCTGTGAGATAAGAATGGCATCAGCCTGGGGCAGCCAGAGGAAGCTGAACTCTCTGCTTTGTGACTGTGTTCAACGCACAGACGTGCATGTGCACACAGTCCTATACATATGTACAGATAAAACCAGATAAAGCCAATTCATGCACAACAACATAGACACAGGGGCATCAGTGTGGTTTCATAGCCCTCCTTACACTGGAAGATATCTGCATGTGTTTATGTCTCTGGGTAGGCCATCAGGGTCTTGTTGTTATATGTTCACAGTTCATCTGTAAAATTCACTTTCACAAGCTGCACAGCCTCTTGAGGGCACCATCCTTTCATGGGAGCAGCACCTAAATGCCCTTGATCTTACTTCTCTGAAGTAGATAATGGAGAGCCAGGACATTGGTTTTATTTGCTTAATCCCTTTCCTTACTTGCTCAACAACTTTTGGTGAGACATTTATATTCTCCATTAAAACAGAGAGAATAGCAGTGAGAGAGTCCTGTAACTTAGTGTACCTCTGGCAGCCATGAGCATGCTTGTAGAGCATGGCTTGCAGTGGTAGGACTGTGGACAGCTAATGGGAAACCAGAGCCAAACACTTACGTTTGAGAGCCTTGTTCTCCCGTTTGATCATTTCAAGCTGATCTAAGGTTTCCTCATAGGCATTTTTCACTTTGAAAAGCTCTGTGTTTAGTGAGCGTGATTCTTTAGAGAGAGCTTCCCGCTCCAGCTGGCTCTCCTCATACCTTCCCTTCCATTCTGCCATGACCTGAAAGACATTGTGTTTTATTTCCTGCTAGTACAAAAAATGGTATTTGTGGTTATTTTCTGTACTAGATAAACCCTACAGTCTCTGAAAACAGGGCAAATCCCCCTTGCCATGCTCTAGAGGAGCTTCCAATTTAGTCTCATTTTGATTTCAGTACTGACTTAAGTGAGGAGTGTTAGTTTGGCCTTCTAGAAAGGCTAGGCTTAAAAGGTACTGTGCTCCCTCCTCACCTTATCAAAGTTCTGCTGTTTCCTGTTAAAGGCAGCAGCCAAAGTGTTTGCTCTCTCTCTGTCCACTGTCAGATCCTCCACCTCCCCCTGCAGCTTCAAGTTAATCTTCTCCAAGGATGTACACTTTGAATTCACAGTCTCTGCCTGCTGCCCTGCTTCCTGGAGACGCTGACAGAGCTTTTTCCTTAAGGAATATAAAGAAAACAAGCATATGATTCAGAAAATCATTGTATTATCATAGAATCATAGAATGGTTAGAGTTGGAAAGGACCTTAAAATCATCTAGTTCCAACATTATAGTTATGGACATAATTTCCTGAGTACAGTATCAGAAGTAATTGTTTTCCTTAAGTGCCTATACAAACCCCAATAGAATAATTTAGGCCAGGCTACTAAAAGTAAGTCTATGTTCTGCACAATGTACGTAACATCTGGACAGCTCAGTTCAGCTACCACGTACTTGGCCTCCTCCAGCTCCTCCGTGCGCTGAATAGCGTCCGTCTCGTATTTGGTTCTCCACTGGGCCACTTCGCTGTTGGCCTTGGACAGGGCACGCTGCAGCTCCCCCTTGGCTTCCTGCTCCTCCTCATACTGTTCCCGGAGCAAGTCACAGTCGTGGCGAGCAGCCTGCAAGGCGTGGGCCAGCGCATTCTTGGCCTAAAAGTTACCCATAATATCATTTACGTATGTTAGCTGTGACCAGCAGGTGACACCCTCACCATGCACACTAAAGATACGGTCACTGCAGCTTGGGCAGAAGACAAACGGCCAGAGCTTTGTAAGTGTTCGGGCAGCTATCTTTGGCTGCAACCAATTCTTCCCAGCTCTACCACTGACAAAGACCAAGGGTGGTGCTTTCACCTTGGCATGTGCTGTAGCTTTTCTTCCCTGGGGCTACAGAAGAAAAAGAAATCACATAGACCCTTGCTTTAAAGTTAAAAAATTCACCAAAACTGAAACCACTTTTCACATCCTCAGCAAAGCACTTGAACACAGTGCTCCCTCTGCACATCCTGCCCAGTGGTAACTTCATTGGGTTAGACTGTAGGCAAAATTACTTACAAACTTCCAGAAGTGTTTGAGTGAACTGAGGCCCTGATTCATTTTGAAGCCTTAGCATGTGCTCAGTGGTCAGCACTACCTTGCTTTCTTCCTCTAGCTGCCTCCTAAGCTCTTCTATTTGCTGCGCAATTGCCTGCTTGCTCCTGGCCAGCTGCACAGTTACGGTTTCCTTCTCTTCGAGTTGACGGCTCAGTTCACCTGTGACAGGAGAAGACAAGTTTCCAGATTAAACATTCTGAAAACAGGTATAATATATAATAATGCGTAACAATAATCAGTAACAGTCAAGTGAAATCACACATTGCATCTTTATCTGATCACTTGTTACCTTTACGTATATACTTTTACCATTCTTGTTTTACCATTCTCACTGCATATGTTTTTTTACCACTTTATCCTCAGAGTAATGCAGGGTTTAGTAATGAAATTATGAGATGGATGTAACTGACACTTATCACCTTCAATATAACTCCTATTCTGCTTCAGTCATGAGTTTTACTGTTCATTCAGACTCCATATATGCATGGTCAACCCACAGGTCCCTCAACTTTAACTATTTAAGTGCATACCATTTAATTTCTCTAGGGTTTCAAACCTTCTTAGTAATATCCTGTACTATCTCCACAACTGATTCCAGATAGGTTTGCCTATTTTTTTCCTACACAGGCATTTGCAATATACAGTGCAGAGCATTTGGGCACCCAGTGCTACAAGGAACCTGATTTATCACTGCTACTGCCAGAATACCAGAGCTACCTGTGCTCCACCAACAAACAGGATTGTCTGGTGTGAGGCATGTGGGGGGGTTGGAACTGGATCATCTTAAGGTCCTTTCCAACCCAAACCATTCTATGATTCTATATATCCTAAAGTTTCACTTCATAAGCTTTACAAGAACTGGAAAACATTTATTCTACATCACCCTCTGTCCTGTGGGCTGAAGTAACATCTCCTTTCTTGGAGAGGTATAGCCCATGCTGTCACCTCTAGAATTCTTGGCTTTGCTTGTAGCCCTCTAAAATTGTCTTTTTCAGACTTCTGAGCCAATTCAGAGTTTTGTCAAGCTTTCCATTTTGTTATAAGATTCCCCCAGAGCACTATGCACAATGACATTACAACAAACTGGTCAGATCTATAGCATCATCTTGTAAGCATGATCACCTCAGAAAGGCTGCTCTGAAGAAAAGAAGGAGGAATGTGGTTATAGACTGTGTATCCAACATGACATTCTCCACCAAAAGGTGTTTAAATGCCTTTTCCCTGTTAAGGGATGGAGATGTGGGAGTCACAGATCACAACCAGTATTTAGTGAAACAACTTTTATTAATAAAGTCACTACAGTTTTTAGCCTCGAGCTGTTAATGCCAGGCAACTCTGAACACAGCACAGGTATGCATTTTTTCACAGCTCACTCACACACACATTCACTCATATCTCTCTAGTAGGAGCAATACCTGAAAGCCAAACCCAGCTCTTTGCTCAGAAGCAGTCTTAGTCAAAAAGACCCTAAGGGGCTCCTGGTTTCATCAAGAGGTCTATTTAATGCTGTAGTCTTTGCATACAGCAGCCATCATCCTCCTGGATGTGGTCCCAGTTATACAACCCACTGTTGATGCTGTTGATGGTGTTTGCCAGTGGCTTTGGGCTGGTTTGACAGGTCTTAGTGTTCTAAGTTTGGCAGTTCTTGTGGACTCATCAGGACGACTAGCCTCCAGAGATTACCAGATTTTGGGAGACTTTCACATGCAATGCCCTCTTTGCCATGCTGTTCTCTTGTAACAGCATCTGTATTACCATCCACATACAGATGTGGCTATAGAGCTCACTCACATAAATCCATATGAATTCACATAAAAAAGGGGTTTCATGGCAGGTGCAGCTCCGTGCTTCCGCTGCTAGAACAGCAAATGTTAGCACTGCCTGACCTGCTGTTGTGTAAAATCCCTAAAATTCAGGTGAGTTTAAGTCAATTCAGTGGCATTTTAATTTGAGATGCCTGACCTTGCAGTCAACCAGACCAAGGAGCATTCATGCTCATCACACTCACTGTTGCAACAAGTCTGTGTGGGAGCAGTTACAAGCTTCATGAGGGTAGCGCACACAGAGGTACTGTACACACAGTGAATATGTGCACTCTTGGAGGAGTAACTGCAGCTCTAACAGGTTACTCAAGTCATTTTGGACAGTCCTGAATTCCCAGTGCCTCTGCATGGAATCCACTATGTCACATCATTATAGGAATTAGTCACCTAAGCAAATAATGCTTGCAATTGGCATATGAACCTTAAAATGTCACTCATGGACTCACTGCCTTGGATTTATTTCTATTGCTGTCCGTGCCTATAACAATGAGTCTGGAAGTAGAACATGCACCCTGGGTACAACAAGTCTCAAAGTACACATTAGAGGGTATGGGAAAAAACGTGCCCTCGGCAGATCTTTGTGCCTTCCTTACCAGACTCTGTCTGAAGCTGAGCTTTTTGGATCACCATCTCATTCATGTTTCTCTGGTTTTCCTCAAATTTGGCTTTCATATCTCTCATCTGGTCTTCCAGAGTGTGGTACATTTTTTCCAGATGAGCCTGAAAGGGAGTAAGAAAGTGGAATCTGTGTATGTGTTTTTGTGATGTATTAACCTCCCACAGGCAGAAACAAAGCCAGGGCAAGCATTTAACTTATAAAGAAACACCTTGGACTTAGTAATGGTCTCTGTACTACTGGCCAAGCTGTCGATCTCCATCTTCAGCTCGCTCTTCTCCTTCTCCAGCTTCTGCTTCACTCGCTGCAGGTTGTCGATCTGCTCCCCAAGCTCAGCGGTGCTGTCCGCGTGCTTCTTGCGCAGGGCAGCAGCCGTGGCTTCGTGCTGCAGCGTGGCCTCTTCGAGGTCACGACGCATCTTCTGGAACTCGGCCTCACGCTTCTTGTTGAGGTCACTTCGAGCAGTGGTGGCTCCCGCAGCCTCCTCAAGCCTTTGACTGATTCCCTCAAGTTCATTTGACAGCTCATGGCAATGCTTCTCGGCCTTTGCCCGCACCGCCTTCTCGCTCATGGTCTCCTCTTCCAGCTCTGCCACACGAGCCTGTATAACAAGGAAACAGCACATCAGGAATGAATAAGGGAGCAGACAATTCAGTGCTTAGTTTAACACAGAACTGCCATAGTAGAATACAAGGCCATTGTTTTGGAGACTATAAGCACCTGCAGCCCCATGAAGGAGCAGGCGGATGCCCAAAGGAGGCTGTGACCCTGTGTGAAGTCCATGCTGGAGTAGGCTCCTGGCAGGACCTGTGGCCCCATGGAGAGGAGCCCATGCTGGAGCAGCTTTGTTGCAGGACTTTGTGACCCTGTGGGGGGGGCCCACACTGGAGCAGTCTGATCCCGAAGGATGCACCTCATGGAAGGGATCCACCCTGGAGCAGTTGGTGAAGAACTGCAGCCCATGGGAAGGTCCCATGCTGCAGAAGTCCATGGAGGACTGCCTCCTACGGGAGGGACCCCATGCTGGAGCAGGGGAGTCCTCCCCTGAGTGGCAGAGGGAGTGTGGGATGAACTAACCAGAAGGCCCATTGCCTGTGCCCCTGAGCTGCTGTGGCAGAGAAGGTAGAGAAAATGGGAGTAAAGTTGAGTCTGGGAAGAAGAGAGGGGTGGGGGAAAGGTGTTTGAGATTTGTGTTTATTTCTCTTTACCCTACTCTGATTTGATTGGTAATAAACGAAACTAATTCCCCCAAGTTGAGTCTGTTTTGCCCATGGTGATAATTTCTGAGCGATCTCTCCCTGTTCTTAGCTTGACCCACGGGCCTTTGCTGGATTTCCTCTCCCTGTCCAGCTGAGGAGGGCAGTGACAGAGCAGCTTTGGTGGTCACCTGGTGCTCAGCCAGGGACAACCCACCTCACTTCTGTGGAGAAATTACAGTGTATTGAGGCAACTACTGTGGCTAAGCCAGAGATTTTACGTTACCAACCATGGACAAGCACTTTTCAGGCTACTGCAGCTTAAACAAGCAAAAAAAGTAGTTCCAGAAAGTCTCTTGCCTGCAATTCTCTGACCTTCTTCTGCAGTTGAATACCTGAACTCTGCTGTTCCTCAATTTTAGTTTGCATCTCATTAAATTCCAAGTCTTTCCTGTGAAGAAAATGTTCTTTTAATAAAGAAAACAGGTCCAGAGAAAAACCAAATGATAAATTTGTTGCTATTTCTTAATCATACTTCCTCAATTTTTCATCTAAGTGGTGTTTATCATTCTCCAGATCCACTGTGGTTTCCTGGGCAAGTCTCAAGTCTCCTTCAAGCTTTCTCTTTGCTCTTTCAAGGTCCATACAAACTTTTCTTTCTTGTTCGAAAGATTCTTCAACCTGTAACATGAGCATATGTAAGGATGGCTGACGGAATGACTGAAGAACCTTCCTCTTCTCCTTGTGTTGAACATGCTTACATTGTTCACTTGTTGCTCCAGCTTGATCCTGGCTTTGATGAGGGTATTAACTTTGTCCTCCTCAATTTGCAGGTCATCCAGTGCCTGCTGATGGGCTTCTTGTAGGGCCTTCTTCTCCTTGTCTAACTTCACAACAGTCTCATCTAAACCTGTCATTTCTTCAGTTAGATTTTTAACCTATTGTAAGGCAAAATACTTGAAGGTCACTAATAATTTTGGCTTTTCCTTAGGCTAGTGATCACACAAAGGCAATAAACTCATTGCTAGCCTACATGGTCAAACTATACAGCCTTTCTGCTTGTATATTACCCTTCTGAAGCCACAAAGCAACTCAACTTGCATTTTAATGCATTATTGCATGCTCAGAGGTTGGTTGCTCTGTGCAACAGAGGTGACCAAATTCTGCACCAGGCCCATAGATCATGTTATTGTTCAAGTTGACTGGACCTCCACATCCTATCTACAGACATAGAAACTATTAATAAACATGTAAACAGAAGGAAAAAAAAAGTACCTTGTTTTCTGTGGCATGCTTTTCTTTTTCAGCTTTAGCCAATGTTAACTCAAGGTCATCAATATCTTTCTTCAGTTCTGAACATTCATCCTCCAGTTTCCTCTTTCTGGCTGCCAGATCAGTATTTATCCCCTCTTCATCCTCCAGTTTTTCCATTACCTCCTTTATTCTTGCTTCCAGCTGGAATTTGGCTTTGATCACCTGGTCACATCTTTCTTCAGCATCAGCCAGATTTTCATTTTCCTTTTTACAGAAAACAGACTCGTGTTTCATTGTCACACATTGGAACTGACACAGAAACCATGTGCTCATTGTGCAACTGGGACACAAAATAATACAATTTCCATTCAGCCCCTTCCTGAACACTGAGACAAAACTAATGCAATTGAGGAGCCAAAAATGGTCTTAAATTACTTACAGTCTGTACTTGCAGCTGCAGAGCCTTTTTCTCTTGCACCAGAGTCACCATTTTTAGTTCCAGTTCTTTCCTCTTGGTTTCTGATTTAGCCAGGTCTTCTTTTGTTCTCTTAAACTTTTCTTTCATGGTGGCCATTTCTTTCTCAGTTTCCACACTTTTCAAAAGGGGTTTTAGCTTGAAGTACAGCTTCATCCAGGGCCAGTGCTTGACGTTCATGAACGTACGGATGTTGTACTGGATGCAGAAGATGGACTCCCTGAAAGCAAAGCGATCCATCAGTACTGTGAATAAAGCACATCTTGAGAAAGCAGACCTCACAGAAGACGCACACCTATGGTCCACCATTCTTTTCAATTCAAGCCTCCTGAGGTATCCCCTGCATAAAGCCTGTGTCTGCGTGATGAGTTTTCCTAAGCAATCATCTCGCATCTCTTCTAGGACACCCAGCAAGCCTGCCTTGAAGAACACCTGCAAGGAAAGAACAGAGATCAGTCATTGCTGGGCTTCTATCTGAATGCAGTGAATGATTTCAAACTGGGGGGGATATTACCTTAGTGTGTCCAAATTTGTATTGAGTATGATCTATCTCAATGGAAGACAGCAACTTTTCACACGCCTTCTTGTTATCCATAAACTGTCCTTCTGGAATGACAGCAGTGTTCAGAAGGCGGTATCTGACAAAATGAAGGGAAAAGCTTAACCATGAGTCTCATGGTAGGGCACAGGATGCTCCAAGAACAGCTCTCACTTTGAAGGTACAGGTACACCTCCAGCCTTCAAGAGGAAACCAGTAAGAAGCAGGTCAGATCAGTGTTACAGAATCATAGAATCATAGAACAGTTAGGTTGGAAAGGACCTTAAGATCATCCAGTTCCAACCCCCCTGCCATGGGCAGGGACACCTCACATTAAACCATGTCACCCAAGGCTTCGTCCAACCTGGCCTTGAACACTGCCAGGGATGGAACATTCACAACCTCCCTGGGCAAGCCAGTCCAGTGCTTCACCACCCTGACAGGAAAGAATTTCTTCCTTATACCCAATCTATTAGATGTGTCTTTATACTTTCCATAGTTGTTAAATAACAAAACACTCTTTTCCTAAAAACCACATCATTGACTTTAGCAAGTCTCTTCTCTCAAATGGATTGGGTTCAATGCAAATACAAGAATGATGTTACAGACCTTTGTTTAAAATCCCCATATAGTATCTTGTTAGGAAATCCTTTCCTGCAGATGCGAATACCTTCCAGGATGCCGTTACACCTCAGCTGGTGCAGAACAAGCTTGTGATCCATCAGGCCTGGGACAGAACACCATGGGAATAAGACTGACTTTTCTAGCATTGGTTAATTGGTCTTCCTGCCAGTTTCTCATCTTTGTTGTGTGAATTACCTGGGGTCTTTGTTTCATTGGGAATGATACAACGCACAAAATGAGGATGGGTTGTTCGCAAGTTGGACATCAGCTTATTTAGGTTTTCCTGTGAAAAAAAGATCATTTGCAATCTCTATCTTACTTCAAGACATATCTCAGTATAATTTGTCTCTGATGGAAAATGAAACTTCACAAGTTTTTTCTTACTATTCTAGTGAATATTCTACAATCCTGTACAGGCATCAGCACAGTAAATACTACTAACAGTGGATACAAGTGATAAACTTGTCTCCTGTCTTAAAATGAAAAGATGTTCTTAGTGGTTAGAAGCTAATTATAAGAGCTGTTAAACAGGAGAAGGATGGAAAGAAATGCACAATGTTCTGGGATACCAACAATGGTCTTTCTTGATTAAACAAACTTTTGATCAAATTGATTGATGGGTTCATTTGTTGGTTCTGTTAGTTAGATATATAGAGAGATATTATATGTATATATAGATACACATATTAGTTATGTGTATTCAAAAGAGAACTGAGCCACAAAATCAACGTTTGTCTATGACATCAGAAGTCATCTGCTCCGCAGCATAGTTTTTGTGAGCATTGCATTTCCTTAATCTTCTCATGCAATAATGATATACTGCCCATGTCACTGCCAGCAGGATGCAGCACTCATCATCCTGTCAGGAAGGGCTAAGTCTCTTCCTGAGCCCAGAATACATGTGTCACAACATCGAGGAGCTGCAACATGTAAGTTGTGTGGCTCACACTGACTACAAGGCACTGATTGCCATACAACATCCTGTACTAAAAGAGGCACATCCTGGAAGAAGCCAGTTGCAGCCATATAAGGGCAGGATATTGTTACCACCAAACATACTAACACCAAAAAACAAACTGTTTTGGCACCAAAGCCAAAACAGCCTTTGGGCTGTCTTGAAACAGTGCAACCTGATCAAAGCACATGAATTCCCTTCTCCACCACTGGACCTCATCAGCAAAGCAGAATTCAAACTAACCTTTACCAGATCCCAAAGGTAACATTCCACAGCATTGTATGGCAACAGAGAAAGAGGAAATGGTGACCTAGTGTATAAGGTCTGACAAAACTGCCTTCTCAGCATTTTCTGCAGCTGGCCCAAGCTGTGCCAGAGAACACACCTACCCGAAAGAGTACAGAGACAGTTTGGAAGGAAGAGCCCTTTTTCTTGGTTCCTTTCTTCTTAATCCCACCACCTTCAGCTGGAAAATGAGATGACAGTCCCAACTGAGGTACTGCTGTAGATCCTTTTGACAGCACTATAATTGTGCATCTAATACATAGAGCATGAATACTGATTTAACACTGATTCAAGTCAGGTGATACAGTTGGAAACACCAGACAGGAGACATGATTCTCTATCTTACCTTCATCTATGGAAGCAAAATCAGCATAAAGATTGCATAAAATTTTCATAGATGATTTCTGATACAGCGCCACAAGAGTTTCATTCAGAGGGTCTTTGTTCTTCTCAAGCCAGCCAGTGATGTTGTAGTCCACTGTGCCAGCATAATGCACCAGGGAGAAATGGGCCTCAACCTTGCCTCTGCCAGGCTTGGGCTTTTGGAAGTTGTTGGACTTGCCCAGGTGCTGGTCATAGAGCTTGTTCTTGAAAGAGGTGTCAGTTGCCTTGGGGAACATGCACTCCTCTTCCAGGATGGAGAAGATGCCCATGGGCTGAATAGAGAAAAGGTGTTTTCAAATAAGATAAACTCAAGTTATAATAATATGAAGAAATGCTAAAGTACTGGAAGTATTTTATAGAGAATTAACTTGGGAAAAGCAGGGAAGCAAAGTTTTTTATGAACAGCTGACAAGATATTCAAAAGCACCAGATTTTTCATAAGTAGGGTTTTGAGCTACCCAGACATTGGCTGGGAAACTAAGAAAGCCAAGCAAAAACTGTGCAGCAATTTCCTGGATTATCTGCAGCAATTTCCTTATCCAAAAGGTGCAAAAAGCAGTCAGACATGAGGCTTTCTAACATTTGAATTTAACTGAGAGGAAAACCTGAAGAGGAACCAATATGCAAAGACAGAAGAGAAGTGGGGTAAATCTGACAATGGAATGATAACTTCTAATGGTGCATAAGACAGAACAGAGAAAAAAAAGCAATGCCTTTTTAGAAGGCAGAATGCATTTCCAGTTGGTGGATGATAAGTCACAAGTGTTAGGTTTAAAGGAAGGGAGGAGGTAAGGAGACCTGGAAGCTTCACAGAGAGACTGCATTGAAGGCATTTGTGCAAATGTTTTTGAGGATCCCTTCCAGTTCTGACCTCTGTGATTGGAAACACTGCATGAAAAATTCACCTTCTCAATGAGCTCAATGCAGGCAGCCAGGTCCATCCCAAAGTCAATGAACTCCCATTCAATTCCTTCCTTCTTGTACTCCTCTTGCTCCAGCACAAACATGTGGTGGTTGAAGAACTGTTGCAGTTTCTCATTGGTGAAGTTGATGCACAGCTGCTCAAAGCTGTTGAACTAATATTTGAGTAAATGTTTTAATACTGTTAATCTGACAGAAATGGATTTATTTCATAGAGTTACTAAGGCAAGGCCAGACAGAATATCCCTGAAGGGTTTTGGTAACAGTGTAAAGAATATATCATGGGTTGTCCTGGCTTACAGGAAAAGTGCTGTGCAGCACATGGTTGATATAGTCTGCACTGATGGTGGTTTTGGGTGACCTTAAATACAGATTCTGTGGGAATGGAGACAGCAGCTTCATAGCTTTGCTTCTGCTGTTTCTTTTCTCTTATGTAGTGGGTGATGGACCTATAAAGGCAGAAGTCGTCTCAGAGGGATTTGCCCTGTTCTTGGGGGCTGCATTGGGGTCAGGAAGAGGAAAGGTCAGAAAAGTCAAACAAGCAGAAAAATGCATTTAAAAAGAGTGCAAAACCAAACCTCGAAGATCTCAAAGCCGGCAATGTCTAAGACCCCAATAAAGTGCTGTCTTGGAAGCTTTGTATCCAGTTGTTGGTTGATGCGCATCACCATCCAGAAGAAGAGTTTCTCGTAGACTGATTTAGCGATGGCATTTACTGCATGGTGCACCTGCAGAGACATGGTTCACACAGCTCTGCCAGGGCACTGCTAGTGCACCACCAGAGCAATAGCCCTCCACCATGCAAAGATGCTTTCAGCCCACAAAATGCACTATAGGCCTTAATGGTCCTGACCATCCTCAGCTGTGACCTGCACCCACTCCCATCTCTTAGGGAAATGCGGTCCCTGCTGCTCCCTGACACCCACCTGATGCACTGTTTGGCCCTTTATGACATAGTCATTTCCCACTTTCACCCGGGGATAGCACAAAGCTTTCAGCAAGTCTGCCGAGTTCAGGCCCATCAGGTATGCTGCTTTGTCAGCCTCTGTAAAGCAATACAAAACCAGTGAGTGTACTGATGATGGATCAACCTGATGTAGTTGAAGATGTCGCTGCTCATTGCAGTGGAGCTGGACTTGATGAGTTTTGAAGGCCTCTTCTAACCAAAACTATTCTATGATTCTGTGAACAGTGTTTTTCCCTTCAAGCCACTTCTCCACAATGTCACCCAAGCAGATCAAGTCTGGGTGTGTAACCAGAAACTGGGCAGCACTATCATAATATGTCCCAGCACAGGGTCCTTCAGCAGAGCCAGTGGGAGTAAAGTGGATGCAGAAAGTGACTCTACAGGGTGGTAAGTTGACGGTTGAACCTCATTTTCATTTTCATCAAGGAACAGCTTCTTTCCCAGAAGAGTCCTTGCATTTCTAGGGAAAACCAGCATGAAAACAGTTGGAAATAAGTGTCTCCAAGCCACAAAGGTTTTACCTTCTGTGCCATATGGCTCTGCCTGCTCCTCACGTGGTTTCTGCCTGAACTTCATGTTTCCATAGTGTAGAATTGCCCCTGTCAGCTTGTAAATCCCCATTCTCTCATCAGGGCTGAAGCCCAATATGTCAATGGCTGCCTGCATACCGGAGAGATCAGCTGGTTATAGTGGTGGTGATAGTAAAAGTGATACTGCCTCTCCTTGCTAAATGTACTCACATCTGTGGCAACGAGCTCCTCCTGGTCATCGATGCTGGCCACAGAAATCTCCCCTTGGCTGATGAACGGGTAGTCGTATGGGTTGGATGTGATGAGGAGCATCTCTGAAAGGCAAATGAGAGAGTAAGAGCCAGATCAGGGCAGTGAAAATGGAACAACAGCTCAGCAAGGTTTCACAGGCTCTTTTTCCTTTTGCATCCTCAGGCTCTTGGTTTTCTATTAAGAGACAAGACAGAGTAAAGGCATTCATCTGCCTTTCACTGGATGAGCAGAAAGTCCTGGGCAGCTTCTCAGTCCTACTAGTTCAGTATGCTCTCAACTGGAGCTGAACATTCAGCACTGGCAGACAAGGAAGAAGGGACATCCAAATAAACATCTTTAAGAAAGATATTTAGGTGAGACTTGTACATGCTTATCCTCTTACATGACATAGAATCATAGAATCACAGAATCACAGAATGGTTTGGGTTGGAAAGGAACTTAAGATCATCCAGTTCCAACCCCCTGTCACTGGCAGGGATCCTTCACACTAGACCATGTCACCCAAGGCTCTGTCCAACCTGCTAGATGGAGCATTTACCATTTCATTGGGCAACCCGTGCCAGCACCTCACCACCCTCACAGGGAAGAACTTCCTTATATCAAACCTTAACTTCCCCTGTTTTAAGTTTAAACCCATTACTCTGTTTTGTATTACAAATTGAGGCCGAAATTCACAACTTATTTTCAGCCCCCAATCCTATGGTAGAGTAAGAGAAGTGAAGGCGTTCAGATGTGCAGTGGGGTTGTGCAGCATGCAGGAGGTGAAGCCCTCCACACATTGAAGATAACTCTGTGTCCTTGTACACACATGCAGCCCCCTAGCATGCAGCAGTCTCTGGAGGGGAAGGGAAGAGGGAGGTGGTAACGTCAGGAGGAGACACAGTGGGAAGATGAGTGTAGGAACTCCACCTTGGGACCTGTTCTGTGGATATTTAGGAGGGATGGGCAGAGTGGAGGGAGGACAAGTGCAGTAGTTCAGTGTGTGCCAAAAAGGATTGGGAGAGATGTGGGGCATAGGTAGGGTATGACGGGGGAAGTTTAGATAAGGAAGACTTTCTTTCCTGTGAGGGTGGTGAGGCACTGGAAAGGGTTGCCCAGGGAAGTTGTGAATGCTCCATCCCTGATGGTGTTCAAGGCCAGGTTGGACAGAGCCTTGGGTGACATGGTTTGGTGTGAGGTGTCCCTGAGCACAGCAGGGGGGTTGGAACTGGGTGATCTTAAGGTCCTTTCCAACCCAAACCATTCTATGATTCTATGACATGGCAGTGGGAAGGGGGAAAAGGCTGGAGGGGCTATGCTGGAAACAGGAAGAACTTTTGCCCATACAATGGAGAGTTCAGATAGGTGGTTTGTAGATCAGGGTATGTGCCCATCCTGCACCCAGAAAACTCTGACCTTTCTACTGAAGATTATTCACAGGATCTGGCCCATGTATGCTGGAATTTCCACACCAGCAAGAACAGCAAAGTGTAAGGCAGAGTAAATAGCCACTGCTGCACCTCACCTACATAGTTTGCATAAGAACTTACCCAGCTAAGATAAATTGGATGTGGAGTAAATCCTAGTGCGACAGTTACACAGAGAACAGTGCTGTGTGCAGCTTTGATAACCCAGTCATCATAGAATAGATTCACAGAATAGCTTGGTTTGGAAGGGGCCCTCAAAGCTTATCTAGTCCAATCCCCTGCAATGAGCAGGGACATCTTCAGGTAGATCAGGTTGCCCAGAACCACATCCAGCCTGGCCTGGAATGTCTCCAGGGATGGGGCATCCACCACCTCTGTACAACCTGTGCCAGTGTTTAACCACCCTCATTGTAAAGAATCTTTTCCTCACATTCAGCCTGAATCTCCCTCTTTCAGTTTAAGCCCATCACCCCTCGTCCTGTCTCAACAGGCCCTGCTAGAAAGTCACTCCTCATTTTCCTCACAGGCCCCTTTCCAGCACTGAAATGCTGCTCTAACGTCTCCCCAGAGTCTTCTCCAGACTGAACAACCCCAACACGCTCAGCCTTTCCTCATAGGAGAGGTGCTCCAGCCCTCTGATGGACGATGCTGGAATGCAGATGACACAAGTAAGAACATGAACAAAGCTTCAGTGCTTCACACAGCCTGAGGCACCTGCCTGAAGGGGAAGCTGGATGCCTGTGACACACGGTGCCGCTGGACCCTCTGTCACTGAGCTGGCATATTCAGAGAAATGATTTTCCTGTGGAATGTCACCATGGGATGGCTGTCCTTACCAAGCAGCTCGGGCTTCTTGTTGGAGAGGATCTGGTAGAAGATGTGGTAGCTTCTCTCCGCTTTCAGCTGGAAAGTGACTCTTGACTTTTCCAACAGGTCTGTAATGTGCATGTACATAATTTCAAGCATTTCTTTATAGTAAAGCAGTAAGCCCCCATCATTTACTCACAGGTCTCAATGTCACCAGAGGCCAGTTTTCCAGAGGTCCCAAAATGAATACGAATGAATTTACCCTGTCAAGCAGATAAAGGTAGTGGTCAGTGCAGCATTCTCAGGTAGCATGCCAGGTTCTTTTCTCTCTTGAATATCAGTCACAGCATTGACAAATTAGTCTGAATTAGAAGACAGATAAAGGGCACAGTTTGTTGCAGCCCAAGTGTTCAGGGCCAGGTTGGACAGGGCTTGGAGTAACCTGCTCTAGTGGAAGGTGTCCCTGCCCATGACAGGGGGTTGGAACTGGATGACCTTTAAGGTCCCTTCCAACACAACCCAGTCTGGGATTCCATCATCTGACAACCAACCAAGAAACTTGCCAGCAAGAACATTTCTCTCAGCCCAGTGGCTCCCAGTTACAAGTGACAAGCAAGCATGCAGGGTTAGAAATGCAGGAGGGCAGAGAGAAACACAGTGACTCACAAAGCGCGAGGAGTTGTCATTTCTCACAGTCTTGGCATTCCCAAAGGCCTCCAGCAGTGGGTTAGCACTGAGGATTTGATCTTTGAGTGTTCCCTGTGAAAACAGGTGAATAACTACTAAGAAACACCCAGGGCTACGTGACAGGAAGAAGTGACCATACTGCTATTCACCTTGTTACGAGTACAACCACGTGCCCTTCATTTCAGCTGTACAGATTTACTACAGCATCCTTTTGACTACAGCACCAAGAACCAGCAATGTGTTTAAATGGTAAAGAATTCCTTTTCCACTTATTGAGGATTTCTCTCCTGGTCAGAGCTCTCATCTTTTAGCCACATGGATAGACTGGTCTGTGTGAAGAAACTGGAGCTCCTGATTCTTCCTGGAGACCAATCCCCCAGGCCTGGTTTCAGTCCACTCTGGTAGCTTGTATTTGTGGTGGTCCTAACTGCACATCAGCCCCTGGTTTTATTGCCTTTTGAGGGGGTGGCTGAAGCTAATGAAAGATATTTTTGGGGTAAATGTTTGTCACAAGTGCTGCCCTCAGCCACAGGTCGGTAACATCCCAACTGCCCCTCTGCCAAGCCCTTCTTCCTCACACCTTCATCCAAGACTCCTTCTTCTTGGCTAGGTCTCCACCCGCTGCAATTGTGGCAAAGTACTGGATGACACGCTTTGTGTTCACAGTCTTCCCTGCTCCGGACTCCCCACTGCCAAAAGAAAGCACAGAGTGAAGAATTATCTGCCCCCTTTTTGTTGGAGACAGAAGTCGAAGGGGCAGGTGTACTTACGTGATCAGGATGGACTGATTTTCACGATCTGTCAAAGGAAAAATGCCTGCAGTCAGAGAAGCTGTAGGGAAAAGTGCTGGTTCTCTGGTAACCCTGAGCGTCCACTGAATTGAAAGAAACAAAACCTCGGCAAGCAAAACTGAAAAGATGCATGGTCTTTTTCTCCTCTCTCTTCCCCTCCCTGCACTGCATTTTACATCTTCTCTCCTCCACCTGTGCTCCATCCTGCACTCTCCTTTTTGCTTCTGTCTTTACCATTATTTATTACTTTTTACTAGCATAAAGAGTAACATTTATTACTATTTGGAATCATAGAATCACTGAATAGTTTGGGTTGGAAGGGAGCTTCAAAGCTCATCTAATCCAACCCCCTGCAATGAGCATGAATATCTTCAACTAGATCAGGTTGCCCAAAACCACATCCAACCTGGCCCTGAATGACTCCAGGGATGGGGCATCCGCCACCTCTGGGTAACCCGTACCAGGGTTTTACCACCCTCACTCTAAAGAATTTTTTCCTCACATCCAGCCTGAATTTAGTTAAGGGCCAGGACCTGATTCAAATTAAAACCATGTATTTTGGTAATGTTTTTTCCAGCTCTGTTCTGAACCTACCTGCTGTTGCACGAAGCCACATGCTGGTGTGCTAAGGACTTCCCAGATAATGTGTCCTATCCAACTGCAACTGCCCTGTGCAGTGGTTCCTGTTATGGTGCTTAGCTTAGTACTTGGACCAGAAATACAGATAATGTGCAGTACAACAGCATAGCACTTCAAGAATAAAAAACCTAATTCTGGAGACAGGGAAAAATGTGTGGAGCTGGGTTTGCATCATCTAGAGATAAAATAAGCACATCACATTCTACAGTACGACAGTTGGGAGCTCAAGAAGACAATCTGCAATATGACACAGGACAAGGAATTGGGGTAGCACATTGTAAGAGATGGAAGAGGCAGCTGAGCCCACAGCAGGTGAGGAATGACATTTGTCAGGAGCAGTGTTTCTGACACAGCCTTCTTCCTCTGAGTCTGGTCAAACTAGAACCACTCACCAGTCAGCATTGACTGATAGGCATTGTCAGAGATGGAGAAGATGTGTGGAGGGGCCTCCTGGCGCTTCTTGCCTCGGTAGCCAGCCACCACCTGCTGGCTGTACACCGGCAGCCACTTGTAGGGGTTGACGGTGACACAGAAGAGACCCGAGTAGGTCTGTGGGAAACAAAACTGTAAGAGTCACTGCAGTCACCTCCTGGCAGCTGGATTTTCTCCTCTGCCAGGACAGGGAACTTACATAGATCATCCAGGAGCTGTAGCGGTCCTTGAGGTTGTAGAGGACGGCAGGTTCATGGAGGTGAGTCAACATGGCCACATCTTCAATTCTGTCAAACTTAGGTGGGTTCATGGCATAGACATCATCAGGTTTGACAGCAAGTGTCTGTAATTCAGAAAGAAAGAGTTGATTCAGCAGCTCTCGATGCTCCCTCCCTGTATACACACAGAGACACAGGCACAGAGAAGTAATAACATCTGTAAGGCTGCTGTAATTCATAGTTTTCTTTGTGTTTCACTGTGCAAAATGAGATCATGGCTATTGCAGGGCAGACACTGATGCCAGCCAGGAATTCTACAACACTGGCAAATTTACAGCATGTAAATTTATTGTCCTGGAATTGCTACAAACACAGACAGCATTTGTGCTGGACCAGCTCTTTCTACATGTTGTTGCTGCTTATGAATTTCAGGTCCCTGCTGCTCATAGCTGAAATGGCCAGGGGCACAACTCCTCGTGGCTGGTCTACCTTTCATCCTCCAAGACTCGCACTGCACTGTGCCTGAAGACACTGTGCACAGGACAAGTACAAGAGGCATCAACAGCAAATCCTTCCTAGGAACAGAATTGTTCCACTCTGGCCTGTTACCATTCCTAGTTAAGCAAAGGCTCTAGCTCTACCAAAACTGGCTCTCCTTGTAGTTGATGTCCTGTCACACTACCGGAGCCTCTGGATGTAGGGGCAGGGGGCAGATGTGCAGGAAAGCAGATGTACACCGATGGCAGCAGCTTGTCTCAGGCACACTGAATGAAGGAGCTTGAAAATCCTGCTGTCATTTCATAGAATCCCAGCCTGGTTTGGGTGGAAGGGACCTTAAAGCTCCTCCAGCTCCAACCCCTTCCACGGGCAGGGACCCCTTCCACTAGAGCAGCTTGCTCCAAGCCCCTGTGTCCAACCTGGCCTTGAACACTGCCAGGGATGGGGCAGCCACAGCTTCTCTGGGCACCCTGTGCCAGCGCCTCAGCACCCTCTCAGGGAAGAGCTTCTGCCTTAGATCCAACCTGAACTTCAGAAGAGGGCGGGAAGCTCTGAAGTATTAGGAATTATTAAAAAAGAGAGAAAAGAAGAGAGCATTCCATAGGATGTGTCCATCAGTCCATTCCCTCTTTTGTTACTGAGCACCCCTCTTCAAAAGGATACAGTTGTGGTGGAAATGCTCCAGAGAAGAGAAACAAAGATGGTTACATGTATGAAACAGCTTTTGTATGAGGAGAGCATAACTTGATTGGGATTTGGGCGTCACAAGGAGACTTTTGCAGTCTGCAAAGTCAGGAAGAGCAGAGAGCCATTGGCTATGGCGAGGAAGAAATATTTGCTTGTGAAAAAATAAGTTGAAATGAGCAGGCTGCCCATTGCAGAGGAGAGGAAGCACTTCACACACATACTCCAATCTTAAACCATGTAAATCTTGCCCACAGGACACTACAAAGGCAAAAACCCTCAAATGGATCTGAAGACCCAGCCCCCAGGAAAGCAGGTCCTTATACACAGGTGCCTGTGCAGGCTCTGCTCCATCACATACCTGGGGTTGCTGGAGGCTGGGCTGAACCAGTGGATGGCTGCTTTATTCTTTACTTGCTTTCTGAAGAAGCTTGTAGCACCTGCTGCCAGGATGCTGGGTGCTTTGGGCTGCTGCAGCTGTTTTCACAGCAGTTATCAGGCCGTGAGCTGCTAAGACCTGTCAGCATTTTTGCAAGATTAACACCTTGGAGGCTTCTCTAGGAGACTGCAGCCAGTGACACTTCACAAGCAAAGGGGACTTTCAAAGTACCTGCCTGCTCTGCTACCAGTGAAGGAAGAAGTTTATCAGGGGGTACGACAGGGCTATATGAGAAAGAGTTAAAGGCAGCAGCTGAGAAATGCTAGGGCTTGCAAGGCTACAACCAAACCTGGTTTTGAGCACTGCCTTATCTTTAAAGCCTAAAGCAAGAATAACTACCCAAAGAACACCTTCATCCCAGGATCCTGAGCAATGCTTTCCTCTGGAAGCTGCGCTGGTCCCAGTCAGAGGGCAGGGCAGGGCAGATGTCTTGCCTGAGCCAGCCTAACTCTTTCTGTGCTCCTTGTCCTCCCTATCAGACATCTCAGCAGGGCCAGGAGGAGGACCAGGAGGAACGCACTTACTCTGCCATCCTCCGTCTCAACAGTTATCTTCCCATCCTGTGCAGCCTTGATCTTGCCTTTGGTGTACACCACCTCGGGGTCAGCCACAAAGCAGTGGGTCTTGGCATCAAATGGCTGGTTCTGGGCTTCGATTCTCTCCTTCTCTGGTTTGCGCAGGTACGGTGCAGCCTCCCCAAAAACCTCCATGCCAGCGTCTCTGCTCATGGCTGGAGCTGAAAGACAGACCCTGCTGTGGTGGACCCCTCCCAGAGCACCCTTCGCACCCCTCAGATGCGTGCTGCGAGGTCTGAGGGAGATGTTTGCCTCTCAGAGCTGGAATGCACCAAGCAACAAAGAGCTGCCACCCTTCACGGCCCCAAGGAAAGGGGATCCATGCCTGAAGGAGCAGGAGGGTTCCCTGGGGATGTGTTAAAGGGGAAAGCTCTCTGAAGGATTCACATAGTCCTTAGTAAAACTGAGGCCCTGAAGCTCACTTTAGTTCCAGTTCTTTACTTATGATTTCCCCCGCTCCCTTTTAACATGGTGCCTATCCTAGTCCTCTGGTGCACAGCCGCAGCAGGCAGGAAGGGACACATGCCATGGTCTGTTACAGTGGATCATTCAGAGGGAAGAAGGGGACCTGCTCACAGTGAGTGCAAGGGAAAAGCCAGCTCAAGCCAGTCTGGGCAAGCTGTTAGTCTCCATGCTTTAAATTCTCACCTTAAGGATCAGTCAACAGAAGGAAGGACCAGGCTGACATCTCTGATCTCTGAAAGAGAGAGTGGAAAGGTCAAACTCCAGCTAAACTACAACCTCTCTGATGGCCCAATACCCCTCCCTTACTGCAAGCAACCACTCCAGTTGAGGACTGGAGAAGTGAGCTCAGATACCAGTCCTTCCTACCCAAGGAATGACCCAGCGAGGAACCTACAGCCTTGCAAAGCTCCAAGCATGGGCAACAGCAGCACTGGAGGAGCCCTCCACCCCTCTGCAGGTCACTCACAACACAGCCATGAGATCAGGAGGCACCAACAAGGGCTTTCTCCCTGACAGCTTTTATAGGCTCAGCCCCTTCCCTTAGCTCGGCCCCTTCCCTATATTTGGAAGGAAGGGATCGACGCTCCTGCCTGTGCACCAATTCCTGTTCATTTTCTGCCATATACAGTATGAAAAGAACGGAGCTGCTCTTTTTTTTCCAAGTTTAGTAGCTCTGGGACCCGACTGCGGTTTGTAACCTCTTTGCTGTGGGATGTCCTCTCCTGGGAACATGCTCTCCTGACAGCTATGACTGCAGATGGCTCTTCACTGCTACCTGCTCTCACCTAGATGTCAAAGACATAATAGTCCAGAAGGGACCTGCCCCACTGCTGCTGCTCCTGGGATGCCTGGGCAGAGCTCACAGTGGGAAGGGAATGCAAAGCAGCTGTGCATGGGGTGGAGGGCAAGGCCATGGGAAGGGAAAAAGGTGATGAGGATTCATGCAGGATCAATTACAGCGATTATTGTGGCTTTCCCATCACTGTATGGATCAGGGAGGACGAGAGGAAAGGCCATGACTGGAGTATAATGTGACAAACCATGGCAAAATACAGGCTCATCAGAAAGGATACCCAAATCTAGTCAGGTCTAACCTGTCATTCTGATTGGAGAGTTTATTTCCTGGATTTCAGTGTCACAGGGATGGATATTTCATGAATTCCATGCCCTGTATATTCTACAGAAATTGAGCCACTTTGGCTGCCTAGAAGGTTCACTACCCTTGCTGCCAAAAGGAGCTGCAGAAGCCATGTCACACAGTGCTATCAGGTCCTTAAACACAGCTGACTGTGATTCCAGGTGAGAATAATATTGGTAAGGGGACATAGTAGCCACCAAAACACTGGGCATCAGCCACCTTTGCATGCCAGCTAGGACAGGTGAGCTCTGCTCAATCCTGAGCACTCAGCCCTCACCCAGAGCACCATTTCCATGTGAATCCTTGGGGCTGTAGGCTTGGCAGTGCCTGGGGAAAGGCAGAACTGTGTCTGAGGAGATGCAGGCTGTGCAAGGATAACTACACTTATGCAGCTCTTGCTTGGGCAGCACAGACCCAGGACTGGCAGCAAGGCATGGCCAGCATAGGCTTGGACACCCCTCTCTCCCCTGCCCAGAGCAGCACTGTGCCAGAGTCTTCCAGGACCACACTACCGAATCCACTTCAGCCCATGTGTTTGCCCTGGAAAGCATTGGGGGAAAAAGTGGGAATTAGCATGGAGAAAAAGAAAAATGTAGGAAAATTTTTCTTTTATAATTTTTTTTATAAAAATGTAGCAAATATTTTTTTATAGCAAAAAGGAAAAAAAAAGTAGCAGGAGAGGCTGAGGGTCAGAGTTGAGCTCTCCCATCCCAGGGCACAGCACCATGACTATGGCAGCACAGCCAGGCTTCTGCTGAGTTATGCTGACTCTGGCAAAGCTGATCCATGAAGCCTTGCAGAGGGCATGAACTGCCTTTGGGCTATGGTGGGCTTTAAGTGGAGGTCTTCCAGTCCCTAGTGCTCTATTTGGTTGGCACAGAGCAGACAGGCAATGGCTGCAAACTGAGCTCACCTCGTAGAGCAGGGCAGGACAGCAGTTGGCAGAAGCAATGGGAGGCTTCATGCTTGCACAGGGAGTAGCTCCTGGTTCATGAGCAGAAGGGTCTCCTCCTCCCCGAGTCATCCTGCCTGCTTTGGTCATCTTCTATCACTGTCCAGTAGCACCCGTTTGCCCTGTGCACTGCCTGGCCACTCATCCAAGGCTGCAGCACCAGAGCAAAGCCCACAAGACCTGTGTGAAGCCAGAAGCCCATCCCAAATAGCTCCTGCACCCCCCAAAGCACCATTCCCAGCTGGAGCACACTGGGACATCTGGTTCTGCCGCATGGGGGACCTTACCTCATCCTGCAGACACTGCTGGCCCTGCTTGTGTTTGCCCGAGGAAAGCCGACCCTGTGGCCTTGCAGGAGCGTCATTGTCACTAGTGTTTTGACAAACTTATTCCATGTTGCCCTTAATTTCATTTAAGGTCACTAAAAATGGACACTGCAGCCCCATAGCTCATGAACCATGAATTCCTAAAATCCCCCTAAGCCTGGAGGATGAGGGAAAGCTTTTTTTAGCAAGCATCCCCCGTGCTCGGCCCTTTGAACTCGGCACAGTGGATGTACTGAGTGTCTGCAAAAGGCCAGACACACCACACCAAGAACCAGCTTAGGGCTTTGTCCTGATACTGAACTGTCAGTGTGATTCAGACAGGGCCTTTCCTGCTCCCAGGCATGCCTAAAGCAAGGGGGATGGACCCTGCTCCCCATACCCAGCTGTAGGATCAGAGCAAAGAGCACACACAGGCAGAGCACACCACTCTTCCTATATTCCCTCCCTGGTTCAGGTGCCCAGCTGGGAGCAGAGTGCAGGAAACCAGTTAGCAGTGAGCAGTGACTAGTCATTGGCATCTGCTGAGCACCACACCAAGACCATACTCCACTGTTTAAAACCATTTGCACACTGCCACTGTCTCAACTGCCCTAAATCAGGACCATGCAGTATATCCGCAAGATGGAATTCCATGTTCTGCCCAGCCTAGCAAGGGTTAGCAACTAAAAAAATACACAATCTTTCAGATCTCCAGTCCTGATCCATGCATGATGCAACCAGCTACAACAGCCACTGCTACTACCTGCCCACTACCTGCAAAGGCTCCACTTTTCACTGTAACAGTCACACTTATTTTGCGCAGTTCTCCATCATTACACAAAAAATGTCTCAAGAGAATAACTGCTTTAAAATCTTACCAGAAGGCAGCCTGGAGCAGGGGCTTAGATACAGAAATGTGTCTGTTACACTGCAAAGCAAGAATGCCAAGAAACTTGGGCAGTGCAGCTGAATGTGCACATCTAGATTTTGGGTTTTCCTTTGGTGTTAAGGACATGCACTAGATTCTTCTCAAGAAGTTAAGTGCACAAACCTTTGTGTTTAGACTCATCTGTGCTTTGGAGCCTTTGGATGCTTGACAAGCTGTGTGAAAAGGAATGACAGAGCTTTGTGTGAGTGAAAATCACAAAATGCCATGATAGATCCGAAACTTCTGTGTTGATGCATGACAATGTGAGACACTGCAGGTCTTTCAACCCAACCAAGGAAATGCCAGATTTCCAGCAAGCTGAATAAAGATTATTGCTTTTATTCCATTTCTGGGACTTAAACTTGGAATATTCACTACAGGGAGCTGCGGTGGGCACACTGAGCACGCGTACTGGCAACAGCAGGCCAGGATGAGCAGACCCAAAACCAAAATGAAGACCACAGTGTCAATCCCAGCCTGTGTCACCCTGATCTCCCTGCAAAGCCCTTCTCTCCGATTTGGTCCTTTAGATCACCCAACTCAGAGCACCAGCCTGGGACGCAGAACAGGGAACAAGGCACCTGCCTGTCCCCCAGCCCTCCTCCAGAGACCCCAGTGGCTCCACCATGCTCTGGGGTTGTCCCTCTTTTCCCAGAGACACCTCCTAGGCTAATGAGTGCCCCTGTGCCTCGCTTCACAGGCCCAGGCTTGGGTGCAGGAGGCAGGTCTCATGCCCCTGAGTCAAGGAGATGGCCCAGAAAAGCTCCTCATGCATGGGGTGGGCAAAGGAGCAGTGCCGGCCATCAGCCGGCTGAGGCTAAACCCAAGGGGCACAACTGATGGTGGGGCACCTGCTGCATCTGCCCCAGCAACTGGTGGGAAGGCCCAGCGAGGGCTATGGGGACCACAGCTTGCTCAGGACCAACAACAGTGCCCACCTAGGGAGTATGAAAAAGGGCGAAACAGCAGCAAACGACACTGCAAGCTCCACAGGTTACAACCTGAGGGCTCCTACATAACCCTCACCACGACAAAGAAACATCTCAACACAACCAGGCCGCTTCAGAGGACATGGGAGCCAAGGGTGTTACACATTCTGGGAAACATTCACTCCCAATATTTTCTGACAGAAGCAAAGGGTGCTTATTTCTTGGCCTTGTAAGAGCTAGGTAGGAAAAAGCATCCTTTTCATTTACTTGTAGAGTGCCTGGATCTCCTTTGTCAGCTCAGAGCTCTGATCTTTGCTCCTCTGAGCACAGTGCAACTTGTGCCCAGGGCCACGCTACCCTGATGTTCCATGCAGAGATGAGATTCAGGATGAGTCCTGGGCCAACAATACCCTGCTTCAGCTTCTCCCAGGCAGAGGACAGTGAATCACCTTCTTTATCACCAGAATCCCACTGGGGCACTGCACTGAAGCCCCAGAGCACACATGTGGGTGCCCACCTTCTTGCTAACAGCCCTAGGGAGCAGCAGCTGCATTTCTGTATGTTGCTCCATGCCACCAACATCATTTGGCAGACCCAAACAGACCCAAAGCTGTCCTGAGGTGAAGGTCACAAGCTACCACAGCAAGCTGCATTGCCTTGCAAGGCTCTCTAGTCCTGGTGTTGCCAGGGAGCTTTTATTACTGCCCTTCATCCAGAGAAGGGCACTCATGGCTCATCATGCCCCCACAAATTAAAGGTGGATTTACTGGTTGGTGTCTATCTATTTTTGAACAAAGAACTTCGGGAGAACAAGGAGGTTTTGTAAGCTTGGAGCTGAGTAAGTTCCCTGGCATGCTGAAAGAACCTGCTTTATTAAACTAGTAATACACAGCTTAAAACATGGAATGAGCTGGCTCTTGCACAGAGACAGATGCAATCATTCCTGTCCAGGTCTCCTCAGCACAGCTCCTCATGCTCCCAGGAACATGTACAACTGATGCAGAGCTGCTATAAGCCAGGGGCTGGATACTCTGCAAGCAGCACAGATTGCTTTAAAAACATGAGTTTCTGTTTGAACCAAACCAAACCTTTAAAATTCTCTTGTGGAGGGAAACACTTCACTTTTGACTTTCATTTTTAGGCCACCAAACCTAAAAGTGATCCAGTAAAACTGACCTGCTTATCAGTTCACATCTAATAGCATGGACTGCAGTCATTCCCCTGCAGCACAGCCCAGACTATCTGCTTCAATGGGGAGCTCCTGAGCAGCCCCAGCACGTGTTGTCCTGGAGCCACAGCTCCTGAGTTTTCCAGGTGAGCACACTACACCAGCAACAGGGACTGGAAAGCTTTGGCTGCAAGCAGCAACTTCACTGCATCGTGAGGCTGCTCATAGCTCTGCTTCACTCCTCAGCAGTCCACACATTGTTTTACCTGAGTAAAGATACATCCTGACTTGCAGCAAGGTGGTAAAGGCCCCAACAAATGCTCAGCCGTCAGCTCCATCATCAGCAAAGAGCAATCATTCATCCCACAGACCTGGCTACAGGCTAATGGGAGCACACCTTCATGACATAGGAGCACATCTTCATGATACAGGGTCAGTGCTTGGACCATGCCAGTCTGAAGAAGTGAGAAAAAACTCTAGAAAATGTAGATACCTGTAAAGTTACTGGAGAAAGAGGTACAGTATTTCAAACCACAGCCCTGCACCAAGACAGGGATGAGAAAGACTTGCCAAGGATTAAATGGTTCTGGGTGGCTGCAGGACACCAAGGTTCAGCCAGCTTTCTTCAATGCCAGGCAGCTTTGCCACTGAAGCTCAGTGCCACCAGCTGCCGTTCCTGAAGGGCTGCCATGACAACAGCCTCATTGTACCACAGCCTGCAGTTATCTGGGGCCAATAGTGCTCCTCAATCTATCACTGCCAAAATGCCACCAAGCAGCGCTGACTGTGGCACTTCTATCAGCACTCGAAAGCCTGAGGCTCCATCACCTGAACCCGTGTGAGCAGCACATCCCAGGGAAGGGGATCCGGGAAGAGCAATAGGGCTGGGAAGAGCCTGGAGGGATGCTGGGCATGTGGCAGCCTGACAGGAGTGACTCAGGAGTGGTCCTGAGGTTGCCTTTTTCCCAGAGAAGGTGCTGGCACACCCCTGGAGCACCCTGCAGGGCCCAGGCCAGCAAGCTCCATGTCAAGACACTCACCAAGCCCTGGAAGCACAGCAGCCCTGCTGGCACCATCAGCAAGTGTTTGCTTCATACAAGTTGTCAAGAAAGATGACGGATGACTGCAGATCTGGAGCATCCCAGGACACCGCTTGTTTCAAGACAGCAGAAATGTCTATTTTCACTCCCTCCTGGGAGTTACTCTGCCAGATATGGTTTTTTGGAAACAGTAGGTAAACCTGGCACTGCAGGCAGTACCTGCCCTGGAATTGTCCTGCTCAGTCCCTCCAGGGCACAGCACGCTGCTCTGGCTGGGGACAGTCATGAGTGATTAAAGACACTTCCATCACTCAAATATGCAACAGAACTGCATCCAAAGCACTGTGTGAACATGTATGACCCAGGTAGTCCTCACCACCCAAGTGCAAGGTACAGGCTGAAGCAAGAGACCAGCTCCAAAAGCACATAGTCCCATACAAGTCCGGAGGAGTCCATGAGGATGATCAGAGGCTGGAGCACCTCCTGTATGGAGACAGGCTGAGAGCATTGGGGCTGTTCAGCCTGGAGAAGAGAAGGCTGTGTGGAGACCTCAGAGCAGCTTCCAGTGTCTGAAGAGGGGTACAAGGATGCTGGAGAGGGACTCTTCATCAGGGACTGGAGCAATAGGACAAGGGGTGATGGGTTCAGACTGAAACAGGGGGAGTTCAGGTTAGATACAAGGAAGAAATTCTTTACTGTGAGGGTGCTGAGGCATCGGAACAGGCTGCCCAAACACTCCATGCCTGGCAGTGTTCAAGGCCAGGTTGGACAGAGCCTTGGGCAACATTGTCTAGGGTGAGGCGTCCCTCCCCAAGGCAGGGGGTTGGAACTGGATGAACTTAAGGTTCTCTAAAACCGAAACTATTGTATGGTTCTATGATTCTATGCTGGGGTATAGCTCAACCTCAATACAAGTGGAGAACAGAGCTGATCAGCACCTCCTGGTCAAAGCAAGCTGCTTTGAAATGAACACTGAAGAGCAGGCACTGAGCAGATCAGGCCTGGGAGCCACATCCTCACCTACTCTGGGCACAAGCAAGCTCTGGAGAGCTGATTAATTCCTGTGTCACTCGGCATTTGAGCCAGGGCAATTCTGCTCAAGATCCAAACTGGATTTGGACTGAGCTCTTTGGCTATCATAGCAGTCCCACAGAGTATTTTCACACTGGCAGTACACATGTGACAGAGCATGGAAAAATAAAGCCAGATTTGGATTTTGCCCCAATGACTGTGGACTGATGCCCAGCCTGGCTCCCACATCCCCTCAAGAGGCACCAGCTCAGATTAGGGGCAGATTTTTCCTGAGAGGTTTCTTTTTTAAGTGCAGAAGAAAAAGGTTCAATGAAGAAGAGGAAAAAACCAACCACTTCAATGTGTATGAGCACATAAAAGCAAAGGTGATTGGGAACAGTCAGCGTGGATTTACAAAGAGAAATCACATCTGAGCATCCTGATTGCCTTTCAAGATAAAGTGACCAGATTGGAGGACGTGGAGGGAGCAGTGGATGCTGTCCAACTTCAGCTCCCAAAATTACCTGCCACAATGGTCTTGTGTCCAAGCTAGTTTATGATCTGGATGGCTGGGCAACTGACCTCTAGGTCATAGCTGCTATTCAGAGGGACCCAGGCAGACTGGAGGGATGGGCTGACAGGAACCTTCTGAAGTTCAACAAGTCCTGCACCCAGTAAGGAAAACATCCCTGCAAAAACCCATGCTGGGAACTGACTGGCCAGAGGCAGTCTAGGGAGAAGAATGGTCAAGATGGTCAGAGGCTTGGAGCCTGCCATCGTGTACAGCACAAGGAGAGGCTGATGGAACAGGACTCGTTTAGCCCAGGAAGGAGAAGGCTGCAGGGGGATGTAACAGCAGACTTCCAATGCCTATGAAGAGGCTATTGAGAAGATGGAGTCAGACTCCTCACCCTGGTGCACAGCGAAAGAACAAGAGTTAAAATGGCAGATGAAACTTGAATGGTGCTAAAGATGTACTCTAGTGAAAAATATACTTTACCCACCTAGAGAGGCTCCATCCTTGGAGGTTTCCAAGTCCTTGCTGCTTAAAACCTTGAACCACCTGCTCTGAATCTCCTGCTCATGCTTTGAGCAGGAGGCTGGATTACAGACATCCTGAGGCTCCTTCCCATCCAAGTTATTCCATGATCTGGACTGCAAGTGCAACATCAGGTTTTGCAGCCATTTAAAGCCACAGTCTCTGTACTTCTCAATCCCTGGCTCTGCCCATGTTGGTGGTGAGAGCATTCCTAAACCAGCCAACTTCACCCATGCTGCTCAAGTATCACTCATTAGTTCAGCTCCTCCATGGGCTACATGCACAGCACACAAGGAATGTGCTGCCTTCCTCAGCTACACAAAAGGAACCACCCCTCATTCCTCAGACATCTTGTCACTAGTCCCCAGCCTGGCATGGCATCAGCTCTGCAGTCACTGGTACAGACACAGCCACTTTGAAGAGCTGCGGTTTCCCACCAGTAACAAGTAGGGAGCAGGCACACAGCAGTGCTCTATCAGCCATCTGTCTAGGGGACACCCAGGGGTCCCCTTTTGCCCAAAGTAACTGAGGTTCACCTTCACAGCACCAGACTCTAATTACCTTCCCAAGTGAAAACCAGTGCCATGAAGTTTCCATAGGGACACTCGGGGAGCACAGCCACGAACAAGGAATCCTGCCATAAACTTTCCCCTGAGCTCCCTCTTTGTGGGCTGCACACAGACTCTGGACTACTGTGGTGAGCACAGGGGGAGTTTGCTCTGACACTGAACAAACACTGCCTATCACTGACAGCCTTCAAGCCTCCCCCCCACAACACATTCCCTTTCCCCCACTATATGTCTTCCCCTTGAACAGCTCTGCCTCCTCCTGGTGAGCATTCAGGATGCTCATCCTTGGTGCTCAGCATACATGGAGCAGAACGGTGCTCCCTGCTGGCACTAAGGCCTGGCAGTAGAAGTCCGACAGCTGCCTAAACAGGGGGGTAAATTATTTTTAAACACACTCCCCCACACACATCCCAATTCCAAAGAAAGTGGAAAGACCAAGAAAAAGAGATGGGCAGAGTCAATTTAAGAGGCAGAAAGAAGTGGGACATGAGCTGCTCCAAGTGCCAGAAGACAAAGCATGACTTCTTTCTCAGCTGAGTCGAATTCTAGCAAGACTTTCAAAAACTCCCACTGTAAACTGAAACAGAAAAATTCCTGTGATCCTTTGGAACAGAGAAAAACAAAAAAAAACCTTCTTAAAACTATTCACTCTTTGGGGAAGGGCAGAAGGATAGGATCTGCATTGGAACTTGAAGAATCTTCCTTCCTTTATAAGAAGGGTGAAATCTTAGACATACTCTATCAGAGTACCCTTCCAAACACCTTCAGGAGGTCACCATAGCATAGGGCAGCTGATGTGGAGTTACACTACTTTATCTTGCTTTATAACTGTTCTGGAACACTTGTGTTCAGTGTGAAACACTCTGCCATGAAGAACATGTCTGGTTTGGCTCCTGTGGGCCATTCTCTGGGGTTCAGGTACTTTACAAAGGCACATTCAGCTTATGGCTTGCACTACCAGAGATAACAGCTACTTTCTAGTAAGAGCTAAACCAGCAAGAATTTGAAGCTTCCCCAGTATATAAAGTACTGATGATGTTCCAGTCAAACCTAACCAAGAAAAAAATATATATTGCTTATACAAAACAATCTTTATTTTCAAATGCCATACTGCATCAAGCTGATCTGACTGACAACCCTATGCATGGACACAGACCCCCTTCACCCTTCCGCACTACACTCACTACTCAGCATAGCACAATCAGGCTGACTATGCATCAGACGATTTAGGCCAGAAGAAAAATTGGATTTGCAAACTATTCCTCATTTCCTTATGTTTACAGTGTTCACCCAGGAAAAAAAAAAAAAAAGAAAAAAAAACATTTCATTTCAGCATTCAAATGAAAAAGACCCATTTCATTCAGCATTCAACCGGGCACACTACAGGGCTGGTCCCATGCAAGGAAGCTTATGATGCTTTCAGTGCTCTTCACCTCCTTAAGTACTCTTAAGGCTCTTCTGCTTATAATACTGTAAGTGCCTCTCCCAGAAGGCAAAACAGTGCAGAAAAGAGGGTTCTCTGGCACATGTGGCTTTTCTTCAAGTAACTGTCCTCCTGCAGTGACTGCCCTTTGCTGAAGTCTTGCCAAGAGATACCAGTTAATTTTACCAGTGGTAAATATTCTTCCCACATGAGAAGTGCTGTCCATTTTCTGCTCCCAGCAATGCTTCACGGAAGTCCCAAATCTTGCTGCAAATCGTATGCACAAGGAAGGCTCTATTGAGACTTTTGATGATGGTATTTTGCAGAAGTATGGCTGCCTTTCTTACCTGGAAGAAAGGAGGCATGCGGTGCCAGGATGTCACACCTGCATGCTTCTGCTTTAACTCCAATGCCCAATTCCAGCCAAACCTAGAGGTGATGTTCACATCAATCGTTGAAGACCTTGTGTTTTACAATCTGTATTTTCTCATGTGTGCAGCAATAGAAGCAGAAATCTCAGTACTCTTCTTATTCTGGCCATAATAGTCCACGAAGTCACCATCTGGCCCAAGGAGGTACATGATTATTGTGTGATCCACCTGCAAGAGAGCACAGCATAGCTTGGCAAAAAAGATCACAGAATCATAAATCCTAGGCTGGAAGGAACCTCAAGGATCATCTGGTCCAAGCTTTCTTGGCAGATCATGATCTAGACAAGATGTCCCAGCACCCTGTCCAGCCAAATCTCAAGTGTCCAGGGCTGGGGAATCCACCACTTCCCTGGGGAGATTATTCCAGTGGCTGATTGTTTTCATGATGAAAATCTTTCCTGCTTGGTCCAGTGAGAATCTCCCAGGAGTAACCTGTACCCACCACCCCTCCTCTTCTCCAGGTGACTCCTGAGAAAAAGGGAGTCTCCATCTTCTTTGGAGACACCCATTCAGTATTACACCCTGCACATCTCTCAGTCAGCAGCAACAGCAACCCATCCAGCCTTTGCTTCAGCAATCTGACAAGGCTTCTCACAAAGAAGCTAAAGTATCACCTTGGTGACTTCTTGTTTTACTCAAGAAGATAGAGAAAACTAGTTGCATACTCAGAATGTATGAAGGAATACTTTAAGAAATAGCATCCCTCAGCTCTTGGCACCCTTCCTGCAGCACAGACAAGGCAGGGGCAACATGTGAGCTAAAGGTCTTTCCCCCTTGCTTTTCACAATTTCCTTCTACTTCTCATGATGCTCCACATGACAAGGCATTCCAAGCTCCTGCTGCTAATATGATGCAGACCCAATAGAAACAGGTATTTCATTAAACTAAGCTCACTGGGAGTATAAGCAATGGGAGCAAGGGCATCCATGGGATACAGGAGCTGCAGAGAGAGGAACTGGTGCAGAGAGAAACACGTGTGCTAGGTAGGGGCTCCCTCTACTGTCTGCACTGAAATAACCTTAAAACATGTTCAAAGTCACAATTCATGAATCATGGAATAGTTTGGTTGGAAGGGACCTCCAAAGCTCATCTAGTGAACTGTAAATTGATTTTAAATGCCACTGCATGTACTGCCTGTATATTCATAAAAGAAGAGTAGACTAAGATGAGCTCTTAGGCAGAAGTTTTTTCCTGTGAGGGTGTTGAGGACCTAGCACAGGGTGCCCAGAGAAGCTGTGGCTGCCCCATCCCTGGCAGTGTTCAAGGCCAGACTGGATGGGGTGGAAGCTGTCTCTGCCTGTGGCAGGGGGTTGGAACTGTATGAGCTGTAAGGTCCCGTCCAAAACAAACCAGTCTGGGATTCTGTGAAAGACACAAAATACTGAAACTGGAGGCTATGAATCTGTGATTGCTCAAGTGACTACATCATCTCCCTGCCACTGGAGAAAAGCCTCTGAAACGTACTATGCACTCAGAGTACAACTGTGTTTGAAATCAGACCAGATGAACATTTCCAGTACCACCTGCATTAAACTTGATGGCACTTGTCAGTGAAGAAAATATTTCTCAAAATTACTGCAATAAAATTTACTCTAACTTCAAATTTTCAATATCAGATTACAAAATCCAGGTGTAGGAAACAAATCTGAAACACGATTCACATCCTTCAACTGGAAGTTGGCAAAAAAAGAAGGTAGCCTGCTCAGAGCATCTTTACTCCCTGGCCTGTGGAAGGTTAAATGTAAAGAGGCTGGAGTGCAGTTTGTGTGCACTGCTTTTCAAGCTGTGCCTGAAGCCTGCACTGTTCCCACTCTATGCACATGAAGACTGTCATTTGAGTTTCAGTGCAGTCTTGTAAAACACAGAATAAAGCAAGTACATTGGGTATGCTGGTACTGAGAATTAGAAAAATCGAGATCATTAAATAGGAACTAGCAGCACTCAAGTAATACCTGAAAAATGCAAACAGGTGTTTAGAAAACACAGCCAAAGTGCTCATCTCGAGGCTCTTTTCCAGTCAAAACAAGCAGCACAGTTGAACTGGCTGTAGGGGACCTATTCATCTTCCCTACCTCTCAGCAGCCTGCAGAGAAAACAACCTGCTCATGCACAGCTGGCAGTGTTAGTCACCAACTGGCAGGACAGGGCCAATGAAAAGGTAACAGCTGATTAAAAAAAATGACAGTGTAGTAATTACCTGAGTAAGTCCCAGGTAGACACAAAAGCAGCCTCAAGCTCCCCCTCCCAGGTCTGTTCTTCTTCTGTCCACCTTGTTTCACAGCCCTGTGTCCTCTGGCCTGCCTGCCCTGAGCACACGGAGCTCTCCACCTCTCAACAGCCGCAGCCTGACAACTCTTGAGGACATGCCTGTAATACTCTTCCTCCTTGGCACCATGGCTGGGGCTCCCAGGCTGCTCTCCTGCTCCTAGTTCTCTGGTCCTTCCTCCTTGCTGTCCTCCTCTTCCCTCAAGCTCCCAACCCTAGCACAGACCAGCCATCTTCTCCCTGGATCCCAAATCTCTTCTCCTACTTCATCACCTGTGTGGTCACTTTCTCCAGTTCAGTTTCACTCTCCAGCCTCCCTTGAAGCTGCTGTCATCTGCAGAGTTGTTTTCCTTGGCTGAACCCCTACACTTTCCCTTCACAGCCATGTCAGAATCCAAGTGTGGTTTGCTAGAATCCACATGTGGTTTGCTTCCTAAGGAGCAGCATTCATTCATCTTTCCTGGCCTCTTTCCATCATCTCTCCTCAACTTCAATTCACTCAATGTCAGATTCTACTGATTATCTTCCCTCTCCTAAGCAGGCATCCTGTGCCAGTCCTGCTGCTATAATCTATTCTTGCATTTCCGCCATCCCTCTTCTATAAATCCAGCCTTAAGCAGTATGTTTAGATTGATTTCAGATTGATGCTTTTCAGATTGACTGGAATTGGTGTTGAATTTCCCCAACAAGCTTGTCTTCTCCATTCAAATACAGTACCTTACACACAGACTTCTGTAGCTATTGAGCTGCTACTAAGCAAAAGCAGCTCTTCATCTCCCACTTCACACCCCTTTTAGTAACAAATCACAGTGCACACATTACCAGTGTGATTCCACCTCCCCTTTACTGGCAACATGTGCTACTCTTGCTGGTTATTCATTTGGATAATCTGTTTTCTGGTCAGGTGGTTTTTAAAAACAGATTAAGAATAGACAATACTGGATTAGACCCAACCTAATCTGCCACAGCATCCTACCTCAAACAGTGGCAAGCCATGGTGGCGTTAAAGAGTATAAAACCAGCCACAAAAATGTTTCCTCTATTACTTCCCAGTTTCCAACATGCTTTAGCTCACAGTCTTCCTGAACTAGGCAACATTCCTGTGCATTTCATAATCCTCACCAGGTTGGGCTTTCCACAGACTAACAAGAAGTCTCCTGTGAACTCCTGTAAGGTTCTACCATTCTCCTCTGTAGGGAGGGATTCCACTTCTCACATGTCCAATGCAACAAGAACCACCGCCTGGTGGAACCTGGTTTTAGATCTGATGTGCTTAGTTCTTGTAATGAAGAAAATAAAAAGGGTCATATAATATGCATCCTCCTTTACCATATCGCTTTGTCATGGTTTAAGCATACACACTTGCACCTACTTTACTATTCCAGTCTGCTCGGGATGTGGCAAGTCAGGAAGGCCTCAGCAGCAGCTCCAAGCCCTATAGCCAGTTGTATTCACACCCAGATTTTGACTAGCCAGTTTAGCCTCACTTAAACCTCACTTTCCCCTTCACACTATTACTCTACATATTTTATTCCCATTAATAGGCTCTCTCTTTGAGGTCATTTGACACAGGAGGAAGATCCTTACAGTATCTGCAGGCAGACTTTACATCATTCAAGTCTCTTACCAGGAAGACCCCACTCCCTCGTGCCTGTTTGGCAGGGTATGAGTTGTTCCTCACTTTTCCCTCTCATTTCTCCCTCTTCCTATTGCCTGAATTTCCTAGTTCCATTTTCATGTTGGAGCACACAGGAAAATGGCCAGACTAAAACACTACATGGCAGGCTTGATATTTCATCTGCTATTCCATATGCAGGCCTAGGACCATACATTCTAGAACATGTTTCAGTGAGGTTCTGAGCCTGAGGTGAGAAGGCACTTGGATTTTGACTGAAACCTCTAAACCAACAGTTTAACATATCACTGCAACAGGACTCTGTCATGTGGGACTTCAGTGTAGATTGCAACAGCTGCCTTCTGATTTTAAAATCTATGTTGCTCTTATCCAAACTCATTAGGCAAAGGCCCTACAGTTACTTACTATGTAATCATTATCTTCATCTTTGGGACCTTCGCTGTAATACACACGGTAAGCTTTGGCCACTTGATCAATCTGTGCCCTGGTACCAGTCAATCCAATCAGCTTTGGAGAAAATTCTAGACAGAAAGAAGGCATTTGGACATTTTAGTGAGAAGAATCCCAACAAGAGCCTCCTTTTCAGTGCTCTATATTACATGCTGCAAGACACAAAGAAAACAGTAATACCTTTAACGTATCTGGCGATGGCTTCTTCACTGTCTCTCTCAGGATCAATGGTGATGAAGAGTGGGGTTAGATTAGGCAAAGATGGAATTCTATCTGTGACATTAACAATATTTCTCTTAGAAAGATAAAATCATTTCTCATCTCCCTGCAAACAAGCTCACAGCCAAGCTACATCTGAGCCCACCCTAAGTGGCAAAAAAAGGCCATTTTCTGCAGCATAATGTATGCAATTTGTGAATGGAATCCAAGGCTCTGTGCTCATACTGGGTGCAGGCTCTCTGACCTGCTTAGGGCAGAGAACAAACTGGCTCTGATGCAGAAAATGCCATGGCATGATGCATGCATCAAAGCACAACGATCAGTACAAAGAGGACCTGTGATGTTCCAGCCACACCTTTCACTGTACTCTCCTCACTTCAGTGCACCCTCCCACTTGCCTGGTTGCTATTATCCTAGCTCCATAACTCCTCAGGCCCTGCAGGCTGAGAAAACCACCTCTATCCCCAGCATTCCCCAACCTCCATTCCACAGCACTGTCATTCTCAGAAGAGACTTTGGGAGATTTATCCTCAGAATGAATAAAATGGAGAGGGGAAAAAAATCCTCTAATACACCCTGTAACTGCTGCTTGGTCACAATACAATGCAGAGGCCCTTTAACCTGCCACCATCAAGTTTTATTACCAAGAAGTCAGTCCTGCTGCAGGAAGATCAGTGCCATCATGCTCTAAATAACAGATGCTAGTCATAGGCTGATCGATCTATGTATCACTTGGCAATTAATTCAGCTATTGAATAGTCAATGGCATTTTTTAAGCAATTATCAGTTATTAACATTTGCAATATTTTACCATAATAAACCCAGACCTCCCATGAAGAGGATCACAATGCCAACCAAATTCCCATACCAATGTTATCTACCACTTCAATCATTTTCTGCAGTTCATCTGGACAGATGTCAGGGCAGTGTGTGAAGCCAAAGTAGATCAGCACCCACTGCCCAATGTAGTCCTTGTTGGTCTTGGGCTGTCCCTCATGACTGACGAGAGAGAAAGGTCCTCCAAGCAGTGGTTTCCCAATGCCTCTGTTTCTTTCCTTCTCCAGAGCTACAAAAAACAAGAGGGGATCAGACACATCCATGCCACAATCCACACTGCTTCCCAGGCAAGCCTCAGAAGCTGGAGAGTCTGGCAACCTCACAGCCTAGGGCATTGAAACATGCTCTACCAAAGCCCATCATGCAGAAGATCAATGTGGACAAGACTTTCAAAAACCACCCCATTTTGGGCAAATATATCTCTAAACTCATTTGAAACATAACCACAGAACCACGGAATAGTTTGGGCTGGAGGAGACCTTACAGCTCTTCCACTTCCAACCCCTGCCACGGGCAGGGACACCTTCCACTACAGCAGGGTGCTCCAACCTGGCCTTGAACACTGACAGGGATGGGGCAGCCACAGCTTCTCTGGGCACCCTGTGCCAGCGCCTCGGCACCCTCACAGGGAAGAGCCTCTGTCTAAGAGCTCATCTCAGTCTCCCCTCTGGCCATTTTAAACGGCCAGCTTAAAGGCATTCCCCCTTGTCCTATCACTACATGCCATACTGCCATCTGACTGTATTTTTTACATAAAGAAAAAAAAGTCAGGTACCCAGTGTAGGGTGAAACAGAAAAATCAGCATCCTTTACAAAGTGAACACACCCTAAAAGCTGCAAGATCTCCAATTTCCCAACTGAAAGCATGAGAATGAAGAACATGAACAGTCATCATAGGGCAGGTGACCGCACACCAGCACATAGAGCAAACCCCACATGCACAAACAGACTCACCTCTGTGCCTGCACTGCATCGACGGGCAGCGTGAGCAGACACAGCTATCCCAGCGGCAAAGACACGTTTAGGAGGTTTAAAACGCTGAACCTTGAAGGAGTGTTCCGAGTATTTTGTTTGCTTGTTTTGAACTTTTCTGAGGCACTTTGCATATGCAACGGGCACAAAGCATGCCACGACTCAGCAAGACAGCAAAGCGCACAACGCCACGGCTGGGCTGGAAAAGGCCTTCAAGCCCATCCAGTCCATCCGTTCCCCAGCACTGCGAGTCCACCCACGGCACTGAGGGTCCCATCGGCCTGCCCGGCACATGGAGCGCGGCTCTGCGGCTCCTCCCGCCGTGCTCCCCCCGGAGGCGCGCAGGGTCCGGCCCCTCACCCCGCACTCACCCTCCTCCTTCCACTGCTTCACCTTCTTCATGGCGGCCAGGAACCCTCCGCACAGCACGAAAGTGGCGGCCAGCGACCGCCACGACACCAGCTGCAGAGAAGAAGCTCCTTAGGGGCTGAACAGACCGGGGAGACAGCGCGGCGCGGCCCACCCCGTCCCGCCACCCCGCTGCGGAAGGACGCTGCTCCCCCGCTCCCGCACTCACCCTCCATTGCGCGCCCTTCCGCGGGCCGCTGCCCGGCGGCAGGCGGGACACGGAGCGGCAGCAGGACGCGGGCAGCACCGCACAGCTCCTCACCACGGCGCCCGACAACCGCCAGCACAGCCCCACACGGCCGCACCACCGCCCGGCTGCCGCCATCTTATGGCCGCTCTTCCGTGCCCGCCCCTTCCGCCTACGGCAGCTGGGCGGGGCCATCATGGAGGCGGTGCCGCCGCTCTTCTGCTTCGGTGTCGTCGCGGACATCCAGTACGCGGACGCGGAGGACGGGTACGACTTCGGGGGGCGCCGGCGGCGGTACTACCGGCACAGCCTTAACCTGCTGCGGGCCGCGGTGGAAGCGTGGGCCGCTGAGAAGCCGCCGCTCGCCTTCGTGCTGCAGCTGGGTGACAGCATCGATGGCCTCAACGCCCGCAGCGGCCAGTCCGAGCGTGCCCTGGAGCAGGTGCTGGCAGCGCTGGGGCGGCTGCCGGTGCCGGTGCATCACGCGTGGGGCAACCACGAGTTGTATAACTTCAGCCGGGCCCGCCTGCTGCACACCGGCCTCAGCAGCCGCTCCTGCGGGGCCGCGGCCGGGCCCCCCGCCAGCGACTGCCAGGCCTATCACTTCAGCCCCGCCGCGCAGTTCCGTGTCGTCGTGCTCGATGGCTACGACCTGAGCACGCTGGGCAGGGAGCCCGGCAACCCCCGCTACCAGGAGTCCCTGCGGCTGCTGCGGAAGAAGAACCCCAATGACAACCTCAACGACCCCACAGGTACCCCCCTGCTCCACTGATGTTTAGAGCATGGAAGCGTGAAGCGCTGAACTTCTCCCATGGAAGCATGGGTGGCGGAACCTCTGCTCCCTGAGCTGGCATCTGGTTGCCAGAAGGCTGAGGCACGTGCCCTGATTCTGCTCGCCTCCTCGCTGTCAGCCCAGAGACAGTCAGTGGGTCTCTAGGTGGGCGCAGGAGATGCTCCCTTACCTGCCATGGTGCTTTTGGGATGGGTTTAATGTTGTGCTGTGTGCCCTGCAGTATCAGAACAGCCTGTGTAACTGCTATTACAGAGTGTAAGAGTGATGCCCACCCTAGCCCATGACTTGGGGGACCCACTAGTGGAAATCCTGTGTGTGCAGCATGACCAAACCCTCCCAGAACACTAGCAAATGATTTTCTCTTGCTTGTCCAAGGAGGCTGGAGTTCAGATCCAACAAAACAGTTTGAAGAGTAAACCATCTATCATAAGCAGACTTACATAAGGCAAGCAAATTCAGGAGCCACAGAAGTGCATGCGCCTATGCCTGACCTTCTTCTTCATTGCAGGACTTAAAGAACCTCAGTTTGTAGAGTTTAACGGAGGATTTAGCCAAACCCAGCTGGACTGGTTCAATGAAGTCCTCAAGTTCTCCGATGAAAACCAAGAAAAAGTCATAGTCACAGGTAGGTGGTTATAGGAGATGTATGGGGATATATGCAAAAAGACCTAGCCAATGGATGTTAGCTGAAGAAAACATGTAGCAGCTTTATAGCTCTACTGAGGTACACAGGTAACCTGTGAAGTAGCATAAGACCCATGTCTCACACTCGTGTGAGCTTTTTTTACGCAGATATCTGAACTTCCCAGCAATGAAGGCAGAGTTAGGTTACATGTAAAGTAACTCTCCTGTTTCTTTCCTTCTCAACTGCAGGCCACCTGCCCATTCATCCAGACGCCTCAGACTGGGTTTGCTTTGCCTGGAATTACAAAGATGCCCTTTCAGTCATACACGCCCATCAGTGCGTGGTCTGCTTTCTTGCAGGGCACCTGCACGATGGTGGCTATTGTTTAGACTCACATGGAGTTCACCATCTGACTTTGGAGGGGATTATTGAAACTCCACCAGAAAGCAATGCCTTTGGGACTATTTATGTCTATAAAGATAAAATGATACTAAAGGGAAGGGGCAGAGTTTCAGACAGAGTTATGCATTTCTGAAAACAGTAAGCAAATACAAATTGCTGTTCTGCAGGAAGTACTTGAATAAAAAATAGAGGATTCAGCTTATTATGTGCTTGTAGAAAGATGTGCATGGCAGATCCTTATAGCTTTAATTCAGTCATTTTCCTCTTGGATACTCAATTTTAGGAATTATGTTTCTGTAAGAAAACAGACCTAATTTCTTCATGGAGAATAGAGAAGGCCAGTATCCATATGTGAAATATACTTGAATGCAGAATGTTGACCTGAAACACCTGTTCCTGACTCGATTGGTATGTACTGTGGAAAAAATGAACCCCACGTTATGAATTGTCAAAAAAAACAAAGCCACTTTTTTGGATGAATCAGAATTAAAGTATGCAGAATTGTACCTGCCCAGCCATTTCCATCTCAGGTGGTTTTTTGCACATCATGATCAGTAATGTCTCATGTGTGTCAGAATTACTCTGCCTTGTAGCCTAATGCAGCCTTCTTAACATTGCTTTAAAAGACTAAAACAATCTTCAAAACCAGCTAAACCCAAGGAAAACAGACGATTTATGATTTATGCTACATCCTTTAATGCTGCAGATACACCTGCTTGGGAACTAGGCAGCAGCACTGGGTGAAGAAGCCCCGATATGGAAGGATGTAGCTGCACTGCATCTGGACCTCTGTGGCTTTCTCCCAGCCCAGAATATTCACCTGAGTGTCGTCGTCCAGGATCAGTAGCAGTGGAGCATGGTGGCTGCTGCTGCGCTGCCCTCCAGGAACAGCAGTGCTGTGAGAAGCAGAGCTGTGATAGTGACCACATCCGCTGGGGACAGTCAAGAGTGCACATCCCACAGAAAATAAAAGATACAGAAGCTTTCATTGCATTTTCTTAGGAAAATTAGTATTTATTACTCTGTAAAACTAAGAATTTTCAGTGAAAGATGACAGCAAAAATATTTCTTCAGATACATTCTACATATTTAGGGCAGGAACAGACTGCTCAAATATTGTTAGTCTCAGGGGACTATCCAGGTAGCTATCTGGAAGATTTATGGCTGTAAGCAGTCATTTATTGAAACAAAGTGTCTGCTTTACTTTCCTCTTATGATACAGAGCAGCAGGTTTTCCTGCTGGTCAGAAAGTGATCTGGAGATGCCAGGGTATCTTGGCTATAACATTCGAACACACATGAACTCAACGGTGCTTTGAAAATGTAGGAGGAAGCCAGGTGAACACCATTTCCCACAGGAAAATCCTCCACTCAGATTTGACAGTGTTCCTCAGTTTCTATAACAAATCTCAACCTGCGCTGCTGGAAGCAGCCAGACATGAACCCTTCATTAAGAACCAAAAAGCAAAGGCAAATAAGGTCAGAATATTTATTCTGTCCTATCTCCCACCCACTAAATCACTGTTTTACAGTGTGTTGGCCAAGATTCTCGCATCTCCTTGTTCACATAAATGTACAGCCATGACACAAAGGGGAAGAGCGCGACCACCACTGCAGCAGTCAAACGAACTCCAGCCAGTGGGTTCCTAGAAAGAAGCAAACACAACAGAGCTGTTTCAAATCAATGCTATGAAACATTCACATCACACCTGGGTGCTGTTGGAAAGACAGCAAAGAGCCTTTGGCCACTCCGATGTAGCTCCTGTTGGTGCATTAGCAGAGTCCTTTCCCACAGAGGCACCGTGCTGCAGCGGAAGTTTCTGCCACCTCATAAACCAGGTAAATAAGTAGGTAAAAGCACCCTAGTTGCCCAAAGGCATGTGTGTGTTTGCCAGCACAAAGGTACTGTTTGGCAGATTGGGAATTTTCCTGCTCCAAGCTAACAGGAATTTAGCAAAACAGCTGTAGCACAATGCTCTGAAGAGGCTGGAGGAGGAAAATGTGGAACCACTGCAGTCACCCAGAGCCCTGTGCACCTCCAGAGGCGACAGCAGCACAGAGACCCTCACTGGGAAGTTCCGTAACTTGGGAGCAATGGCAGAAATGCCTTTGCAGTTCATTAGCAGTTGTGGCCAACACTCCCTAGGCTGTTCCACTAAAGGGGCGCACTGTCATTGTGCAAAGGGAGGCTGTCCCCTGCCATTATGGATGGGGAGCAGAAAAGCTTTCATATTCCTTTACTCCCCACTACAGACTTGTACCTGTACAAGATCCGCCACGCTGTAGCACCAGCTAGTACTGCTTAGGTATCTGAGAGAGTGTTCAGGCAGTGATAGGAAGCAGAAAACCAAGCAGCCAAAATGAACTGAGAAGCTCCAAGCATGAGATGTGAACATGTGAATGGATTTCAAAGAGAAAAAAGGAAAACTTACTTGGCTGAACTGCGACAAAGCCTCATCCATACTGCGATTATCACCAGACCAAACAACTCGCTAAAAAGCCAAACAAAAAACAGGTCAGAAAATAATACAAGCAGGTGTTTATTAAAACATATGTAAATAAATACAAGTGTTGCCTCCAAACCAGCACTGTTGCTCCTGTGAGAAGTTCAGTGTATTTTACTAGGATTGTAACTGTAAAGGTATTTACACAGAGTAACTTTGCTTCCCACCGCAAAGCTACAAAGCCAGTGCCCTCCTCTTTGAAAGCCAGAAGTTTCCCCACTAAAATCTATGTGCCACAATCAGGCAAGCAATCAGGACTGCTCACCCTCCCTTTGTCCAAGAAACCCCCATCTGGAGCACTATGGTCACTTCTGCTTGGTTTGATTCCCCTGGACCAAGAGAACTCACTGCAGCAGCCCAGCAGATAAAGTTAGGGGGTGACTACCAAAGGAGGTGGCCTGGAGTGCTGAGTTCATGCAGGGGGGGATTTATTCACCACTTACCGGCCTTCTTCCTCATGTAAAATGTTTCCTTGAGCATAAGCAAACAAAGAGCAAGCCAGAGCAATGGTCCCAATGATACATCCAGCAGAATGAAGGTCACAGAGGCTCCTCCAAACACCATTACCTGGGGAAAAAACAGACTGGCAGCAACTGCAGTGTCACATGAAGGAAACCTATAAATGAAAAAGGCAATTGAGTCACTAAAAAAAGATGCCTCCAGCAAACACACACACACCTTAGGCAGGAAGACTGAATTAATACCAGCATCTCTATGACCAGGGAAATCTGTTTAGAAGTGCTGATGAAAACAAACACTAGTGGGCTTGGAGCTTGCTTCTTTGGCAGCAGCACCTCAATGAAGAGTTTCCTATTCTCTCCAGTTAACACAAGAGGCTCCAGCATTTGACGTACATGAGAAACAAATCACGGAGTGGAGCACAAAGGAGAGTTCTCTTAAGCAGGAGGATCAGCCTTTCTGGAGCTCCAGCCAGAACCAGATGCTCAGCAGGACCCAGAGGACACCAGAGGCCAGGGGAGCAGCCCCAGCTCCCTGTCAGCCTCAGGGGCACACAGTAACCACCACCCTGCAAGGAGCCTCTTCCCTCACACTCCTTAATAAGCCTCTGCCTGAGGTTTGCCTCTGATGATGAGCATCACTGCTGACACCTCTGCCTGGGGAGCTGATGTTTAAAAAGAGAACTATAGATGATGTGAACTATCTGGATGGGCCCAAAGATTGCTGTGGTTTTCCATGTCTATTCCCAGATGCTAGTGGGGGGAGATGGGCAAAACCTCGGTGCTTGACCCCTCCAGGCAAGCATTAAAGATGAGCTGCCAAGACTGAAGAGCTCAGCATGACCCAGCATTGTAATTGATTTCCCATCTGGCTGAAGTTACTGCAGCTCAGCAGAGGCAAAATTTGGGTCTTCCACAGAGTGGAATGGCAAAATGTCCCCTGGTGAATGTACATAAATGTGCAGTCATACAATAGTTGTGCTATTTTAATCTTTATTTTCCACAGATCTTGGCACCAAAAAAAAAACTACTTGTGAGTTTAACATGCAAATTCTCTCAACCAAATGCCATTATGTTGAAGTTACACCTATTACACAATAAACCTCCCCTGCAGCACTGATAAACCACTGGCAAACAACCCTCATGGGTTTTGGCTTGATGAATGCTTCATATGCTTAATGTAGCCAGAATGCTGAGAGGCTGCAATGGTGTGATCTGCGACAACAGCATACAAGATTTTTTTTGGCATACGTGTAGTTTAGTCAGAGTAAGGATCCATCCAGAAAAGATCCAGTCACTTCATGCATGCAAAATGTCAGGTTTGTTATTTCTACTGGATGAAAATACAAAAAATTAACTATTTTCCAGAGGCCTGGACCAAATCTGATCTGATTCTCTCAACATGATGTGGCATTAGAGCACTTGGCGTATGCCCTTGGAAACAGCCACAGCACTGAAGCATCTAACAGGTCCCATCTCTGTTATGTGCTTTGAGGGGCAGCTGCAGTACTTGATACTGAACAAGACCTTTAGCTCTTTCTGTGCAGAGATCAACTGCTCTTCTATGAGGTAGATAAGCAAAACCACAATTTACATCAAGGAAACAACATGTATTAATGTGCTAACGTCAACACCAGAGCTAGGCTTGTGTTCTACTCAGGCTTTGATCCCTGGAACCAGGGTGCAAAGGTAAAATCACCCCAGCAGCTGCCCTTTATCCAGGGCTCCTCCACTCATCTGCAGCTCATCCAACTGATGACCAGCTTTTGTAGAAGCAGGTTCCACAGATTTTTGCCCTCAAGATATATTAGGATACCTTTCTTAACTGATTTTAATCTACAATTCAATAGATAAAATTGGGTTTTGAGCAGAGACTGTTCTGCACACTGATGTCATACCTGTTATTGAAGGGTTAATGCTGACAAGCAGTGTCAGGGCAGCTGGCACTAAGTAGACAACCTGTTAATGAAATACAAATCTGCTCTGTAGCAGGGCTTAGTGAGACACACAGCAGTGCCCATCCACAGCAGCTGCCAGATGTGGGGAACTGCTGCCAGTTTCCCACCCCTGGCATGCCCTGGCACTGCCAGCGCCCATCACCACTGCCACCCACCATCCTGGACCATCGGCTGAGTGCCAGCCCCAGCTCCTCAGGCCCTGGGTTACCAACTACCCCTTCACTGCATGTTGATTCCAAGGAAAAACCCTGTGGGGCTTTCCAGACCCCAACCCTCCACCTACACCGGGTGGCTCCGCTGGGAGCAGGAGCCTGGCTGGGCTCCCCCACTCAAGGGATGTCCCCAGCACAAAGGGACAGCCCCTGTCACACAGCGCCTGTGCCGCTCAGCTCCAAGCCAGGCACACGGTGCCAGGGCCGCCACGCTGCTCCTGTGCCCGAGGAAGGGCTGGCAAAGTAGACTGGGAACTGGAGGGGTTCTGATTTCCCCTTGAGACCGAGGCAGCCCTGTCAAGCTGACAGGGACAGGCCAAGGGGAATGGCTTTAACCTGCCAGAGGGGAGACTGAGATGAGCTCTTAGGCAGAAGCTCTTCCCTGTGAGGGTGCTGAGGCGCTGGCACAGGGTGCCCAGAGAAGCTGTGGCTGCCCCATCCCTGGCAGTGTTCAAGGCCAGGTTGGACACAGGGGCTTGGAGCAAGCTGCTCTAGTGGAAGGTGTCCCTGCCCGTGGCAGGGGTTGGAGCTGGAGGAGCTTTAAGGTCTCTTCAACACAAACCATTCCCTGACTCCATGACTCAGCCGTTGCTGCAGCAGGGACCGGGTTCCCGGCGCCTGCTTTGCTCTCCAGGTAAATGCAGGGAGCAGGGGAAGGGCGGTCCCGTACTCACAGTCCACATCCCGGCGTCGGGGTCGTTCACCTGCAGCGGAAGGCGCACACTGAGACCCGGCCGGGGCCGCGCTCCGCGGGGAGCGGTGCGGGGGGGAGCCTCCTGCCGCCCCCCTCCGGGCGGCCCCGCTCTCACCTGCACTGCGGCCGCCAGCCCGAAGAAAGCGGCCATAAGGAGGTTGCAGCCCCGCCACAGCCGCCCCGCCATGGCCATGGCCGCCGGGGAGGGCCGCGGCGACGGGGCGGAGCCGGTGGCAGGCTCGGGGATGGCCGCAGCCGATGTGGGTCAGCGCGGCTCGGTCGCAGTTACCGGTCTCTCAGGAGGCACTTTGCGTCCTGTCCAGCGTCCCCCGTGAGGGAGGATGCGGAAGACCTGGAGTGGGTCCTGCAGCGGCGGCCCCGGCCGGTCCGGAGCGCGGGGAACTTTGAGCAGTAGTGAGCAAAGAGGAAGCAAACCGCAGCAGTAACGTGGAACTGCCCCTGGAGTGGCTGCGGAGAGCACAGAGGCGTGTTTGCCTCGCCGGCATCAGATCACAGTATCACAGTATGCTAGAGATTGGAAGGGACCTCAAAAGATCATCTAGTCCAATCCCCCTGCCGGAGCAGGAACACCTAGATAATGTTACTAAATAGGGAATTGCTGGGTATGCTCAAGTGGAAGAGGAGAGTTTACAGGTCATGGAAGGAGGGGCTGGCCACTTGGGAGGAATATAAGGCTGCTGCTAGGGGATGTAGGAAGGCAGCTAGGAGGACTAAGGCATCCTTAGAATTAAACCTGGCAAGAAGGGTCAAGGACAGCAAAAAGAGCTTTTTCAAGTACATGGCAGACAAAACTAACACCAGAGGCAATGTAGGCCCACTGATGAACGGGATGGGGGCCCTGGTGACAGAAGATGCAGAGATGGCAGAGTTACTGAATGCCTTCTTTGTCTCTGTCTACTCTGCTGCAGTCAGTCCTGAAGAGCCCTGTACCCCGGAGACCTTAGATGAAGACAGGTCGACGGAACGGTTTGCCTTAGTCGATGAGGAATGGGTTAGAGATCAGTTGAGCAATCTGGACATCCATAAATCCATGGGTCCAGATGGGATGCACCCGCGGGTGCTGAGGGAACTGGCGGAAGTCATTGCTAGACCACTCGCCATCATCTTTACCAAGTCTTGGGAAACGGGAGAGGTGCCTGAGGACTGGAGGAAGGCAAATGTCACTCCGGTCTTCAAAAAGGGCAAGAAGGAGGACCCGGGTAACTATAGACCGGTCAGCCTCACCTCCATCCCTGGGAAAGTGATGGAACACCTTGTCCTTGGTGCCATCTTAAGGCATATCAAGGATAAGAGGGTTATGAGGGGTAGTCAACATGGCTTCACCAGGGGGAAATCATGTTTGACCAATCTCTTACCTTTTATGAGGAAATAACACGGTGGATGGATGATGGCAGAGCGGTGGATGTGGTCTACCTTGACTTCAGCAAAGCATTTGGCACAGTCTCCCACAGCATCCTCACAGCTAAATTGAGGATGTGTGGACTGGATGATCAGGTAGTGAGGTGGACTGCGAACTGGCTGAAGGAGAGAAGCCAGAGAGTTGTAGTCTATGGGGCGGAGTCTAGTTGGAGGCCTGTAACTAGTGGAGTGCCTCAAGGGTCAGTACTGGGACCGGTATTATTTAATATATTCATCAACGATTTAGATGAGGGAATTGAGTGTACTATCAGCAAGTTTGCTGATGACACTGAGCTGGCAGGAGTGGCTGACACGCCAGAAGGCTGTGCTGCCATCCAGAGAGACCTGGGCAGGCTGGAGAGTTGGGCAGGGAATAACTGGATGAAATATAACAAGGGGAAGTGTAGAGTCCCGCATCTGGGCAGGAACAACCCCAGGTTCCAGTATAGGTTGGGGAACGACCTGCTAGAGAGCAGTGTAGGGGAGAGGGACCTGGGGGTCCTAGTGGACGACAGGATGACCATGAGCCAACACTGTGCCCTTGTGGCCAAGAAGGCCAATGGCATCCTGGGGTGTATTAGAAGGGCGGTGGTTAGTAGGTCGAGAGAGGTCCTCCTTCCCCTCTACTCTGCCCTGGTGAGACCCCATCTGAAATATTGTGTCCAGTTCTGGGCCCCTCAGTTCAAGAAGGACAGGGAGCTGCTGGAGAGAGTCCAGCGCAGGGCAACAAAGATGATTAAGGGAGTGGAGCATCTCCCTTATGAGGAAAGACTGATGATGTATCAAGGGGCACTGGCCACAGATGGTGGCTTAAAAGGTTTTCACAGGCAACTCAACGGGAGGGTGGTGCAGCCCGCAGTAGCTGACCCAGCCGGGCTGTGTGATCCCCATCCTTGGAGATTTCCAGGGAAGCTGTCTAGACAAAGCCATGGCTCACCTGATGTGGTGGCAATCCTGCTTCAGTTGGGCGGTTGGACTGGAGAGCTCCAGCCGTGCCTTCAGAGCAACACTGCCATGGTTCTGCCATAATTCATGTGCTTGAAAGAGAATTAGATCTTTGCCTCAACAAACTTGTACAGTAAAACTGGCCAGTGGTTATGCAACAGCTAAACCCCTTGAAGGGGGCCCTACAGCCCCTCCTGAGCTGTGACAGGAGCACTCAGCACAGCCCATGGAGCCTGTTGATCCAGTCCTTTACCCATGGGCTGAGTTCCCAGCTTGACCTCAGAGCTGCCACATCACCATGGATCTCACCAGCCACCTCTGCTATGGCTGATGACGTTCACCCTCACCAGGCCTGATCCTAATACACAGGTTGATTTCCCAGCTTGACCCCAGGCTTGCCTTGTCTCCATGAATCTGGCTGGTGATCTGGGCTCTCAATTGGATCTGGCTGCAGCCCCTGGGTCTGCCCTGCCTGCCCCACACCAGGACAGTGGGACAGGCATTGTCCATGCACTGTTGGCTGCGGTGTCCTCCCTGGTGTAGCCTGGCTGAGGTTGAGATGACTGTGGAGCTGCACCATCAGTCACCACAGTGAGTTGGTGGATGCTGGGGCATGTCTGAGCTCAGAGAGGTCTGTGTAGGGGCGGGAAGAGCCATGGCCAGCAGTGCAGCTGCACATGACTGTGGTGGTGTCACTGCAGGGCAGGGAGTGCCTATTACTGCTGTTTCTATAGAGTCACAGAATCACAGCCCACCTTGTTTCTGGGCTGGGTTGTTGGTCATGTCATGTCATGGGTGAAGGGGAGCCAGCTGGGAGAAACGGGTGGAGACATACCCTGAGCCCTTGTGCGGTGGGACAGGTCTCATGCTGAGGGGAAGAGGCTGAGCAGGCAGAAAGCAGCTTCTCCTGGGCACTTGGGAGCAATGTGGAGGGTTTGGCAACCCTGCGAGCGAGCAGGGTTCAGTGGCACAAGAGCAAGAAAGAGCAAAAGGCCTGCCTGTCTCCTGTGAGGACAGGGCAGGAAGGACGAGGTTGATTTACCAAGCATGGTGTCTGTGTCTGTCTTGTTCTTTGCTGCTCTAATTCAAAAGCAATCGGGCTGTAGTGTCTTTTAGAACTATAAAGGAATTTTAGTGTTAGGTGTGCAAAGAAAAGGTCACGGTTATTCACTTTAAAGCTTTACTAGCTTCCATGAGCAATTCCTATAACCAGCCCCTTCTGCGGACCCGGGAGAACCTTCAGCAATGCTGCTTTCGCCCGTAAGAGGGAGGCCGAGAACATTCAGTACCCCGAGTAGAATCCGAGCTGCTGAAAAATCAGTTCCTCACTATTAAATAAACCGCTTTCCCCCCTTACGCCTCTCTAGAGCTGCTACTTAGCCCATTGAAGCCCGAGCTTAGCTTCAGCTCAGCAGCTCAGCTGTGAAGGACAGAGGTTTCCCATGAGAGTGCTGCAGAGGGAGAGTGCTGCTGGAGAGGGACTCTTCAGCAGGGACGGTAGCAACAGGACAAGGGGTGACGGGTTCATACGGAAATAGGGGAGATTTAGGTTAGATATAAGGAAATTCTTCGCTGTGAGGGTGCTGAGGCGCTGGCACAGGGTGCCCAGAGAAGCTGTGGCTGCCCCATCCCTGGCAGTCTTCAAGGCCAGGTTGGGCACAGGGGCTTGGAGCAAGCTGCTCTAGTGGAAGGTGTCCCTGCCCGTGGAAGGGGTTGGAACTGGGTGAGCTTTAAGGTCTCGACCAGCCCACCCCATTCTATGGATCCAGCAGCCAAGATGTGATATCAGGAGAGGCAGGTTGTTTCCCAAGAGCCTGTACCAGAGATGTTACTGAGGCATTGACATAGTCACCCATCCCAGTGGCCCTCTCCATCCCTGTGGACACCAGTGATGCTGCCACGAATGGCCATAGATGTGTTTTGATTGAATCCAAACTGGATAAGAGGCTGCAGGTGGACAGGTGAAGGGCTCAGGGGCTTTGGGGTGTTCTTGGCTCCAGGACCCTGAACTACAGTTCACAGAGAAGCAGCTGGAGATAAGTGCATGTTGATATGCATGTGCATATGTATGCACAGTTGATATTGTCAAAAGGGCTTTGGGTTTAGTTGCCTTAACTTATGGGCTAGATGCCATGAGCAGGGCAGGAAGGAGCCCACTTTACTGAGAAGGGGAGAAGCCGCACATTCACTCATATACTACACAGGATTGGAGTCTAAAGTGTTCAATAGATTGACCTCCTTCTTGTCATTATAATCCTAAAGTGGCAACCTTCCTCCTACCTTATTGGTTTTATAGACCTCACCCAAATTCTTGTTTATGCTTTGTCAGATGGTTCGTTAATCCTAATTTGAAGTCCATCTCAATTCCCAGAAACATTCTAGGAACTCAGGCATTCGTATGCACCTAGAGTAGAACGAGGGGATGGACAACACACACTGTGAACCCAGCAGGAACAAACCAGTCTGGTGTCCTGGCATGGCACAAATTCTTAGGCATCAAGTGAGAAGTGGCAGATGTCATGTATGGTGGCTTGAGGAAGGGTTTTAACATTGGATGTCCTGACCCCTTCTTGAGAAGATAAGAATGGGAAGTGCAAAACTGAGGTAATGGTACCTCAGGTTCTAATTATCAGTGGCTATCAAGATGGAAGGACATATGGAAGGGATTTTTGCAGGGGTCCATTCTGATGCCAGATCTTTTTATTTCCTTCAGTTACCAGCCTGGATAATTAGCATCTCTGAGTGCCTTATTAAACCTGCATGTTACTGCAGGCTGTGAAGGACAGCAAAGACAACAGAATGCAGCGTTGGCTGACAAATGTGAGAAATGACCTGAAACTTGTAGGGTAAAATTCAACAGGTACAACTTCAAGCATTACCTTTATGAACAGTGACACAAGTAAGGGAACTGGGTGGCTGCAGCTTTTCAAAAGGACTCCAAGGTGTAAAGGAGAAAAAACTGAACACCAGCAATGGAAAAGGCAAACACCACCCTGGAGTGTATGAACCAGGAGTAGCCTCCATGACAAGCTGGAGTAATGTACCTAGCTAGTAATGTGCACATCAAAATGCAGGTGAACAGAAAACAGTCAAAGGAGGTCAGTGAGGATGCTGGGAGGCACAGTAACAGAGA